CTACTGAAACATCTTGTCAACAGTTGGACCAGTACTGGAAAGTTTGCATCTCAAGTTTACTTTCGTTACCTTTTACAGATACCACAGTTGATTTCTAATAGTCAAACTTTAGTTTTTGTTTAGCTGAGTGAAAGTTTGGATCCCCATATTTTCACACATTTTATTCCAACAGCGATAGTATTGCTGGCAGTGGGGGTGGCGGAGGCAGTTTCTTATTTTAAATTTATATAGCAGGTCACAGCCAGAATTTTAAAAATGCAGTGGGATAGACTTCAGAGTATGTCTCAGAAAGGGCAGATTCTTCTGTGAACTCATGGTTGTGGCTGGGTGTGCGCGCCTACTAGCTCATAATGTAGGATACGTGTTTTTTTAAACCAAGTAAAGCTGTTGCAAATAAATCTGCTAGTAAAGGGGCAGGTATGGGGCAGTTAGTTCCTTCTGGTTGGTATCTCTTTCCACCCTTTTGGCCCCTTGAAAGTTTCCATAACTAAGCCCAGTGTGTCTTAATTAGATTATGGATGTAAAATATTTTTAATTATTTACTGTGTGTGAACATGTGAAATCTCCTGATTTTAAAATGTTGACAACTCACCCAAAACTTAAAAAATGGGTTTTGTAAAAATTAAACCAAAACTCCATTATAAACCTCTAGGTTCCTGATCCAGATTCTGACTTTTGACCTAAATGCTTGTTTTGCCTTGTGTGCTTCTGTTAAACAAAACCTCTGTTCACAGCATACAAAGGGTGATGCAAAAATAGTTTATTAGGACATTGTTTATGTAAAGTTAGGTAATATTTACAGTAGAAATGATCAGCTACATCCATGGGAATCTAGCATGTCACACAAAGGAATAAATATTTTGACAAAGTAACACTTCAGTTGTAGCGAACACTTGATCAGAAATTTTGTTTTTAAAAAAGAGCCTCTAACTAAACTAAGCGGTAAAAGTTTTGAATTGTCAGCAGCAAGCTGACCAGGCTCTTCTCTTCCTGGGGCCCCTGCTGCCGGCATGAGGGTGGGCTCTCGGGGTCTGAGGGCAGCCCAGTCTGGTGAGCACTGTCTTTTAGCATCAGCACAGAGCAATGAAGGCTTGTTCTCTGAGCACGTGCCCCATGAATGAACAGCCGGTGGGGGTAGGCATGGTTGCCGCCAGGGACCACCCATAGATGTGTTGCAGCGGCGGCCGCTGTCTCTGTGTCCCCATTCTGTCTAGGGACTGCCTGGGCCCAGCAGTCAGGCACAGCATGTGTTGTCTCGAGTCTGGATTGAGACAGTCACCCTGATAGAAGTGTGTCTGTGAGGAAAATCTCTGAGGATTCTAATTGTTAAGGAGCCACTTAGAACCTTACATTTTATAAATACTACTTAGGAAAACTCTTATCACTTAACTGGTTTTGAATCCTAACAGTCAGTAGATATGTTGCCATTACTAAGGTTAAATCCTAAAATCAATTGGCTGTGATACAAACATAACACAAGAATGAGTTTTGTGTTCTTTGTACTCTGTTCCCAGCTTCCTATGAAATAAAACGCAGATGTGTGTCCCAGCTAGCTGTGGAGAGGTGAGGGTGGATGGCAGGGACATCTGATGGACAGGCAGCATGGCAGGAGGCTCAGCCTGCGGGTCCACGTGGTGACGGGATGTCAGTGTGAAACAGCCACACCAAGCCCAGAGCCCGTGGTCTCCACGTGGCCGCAGTGCCCTGACACAGACCCTGATGCATCAGGCTGCCGGCACGGCCTGGGCTAACTGTGCACGCAGCCTGGGCAAAGAGGAGTGCTCCTGCGTCATCCTCCTGGTTTTCCCTCAAGACTGAGTGACTTTCCCAAGAACGAGGAACAGGTATTAGCAAGATCTTTCAGGGAGAAACAGAACCACCTATTAAATGACTCAGGCTTTATAAAAGATAGGTCAGTCACTAAAAATGTCTCCTTCTCATGTTGGTTGGAACTGTGTCGTACCCAAGCTGTTTCTTCTTGTCTTAAAAAGCGGTGCATATATAAGGAGAAAGAAAAATCCACCCACAGACTTTGTCACAGAAATCCATTGCAGTGACTCTGAGCACTGTTGACACTGCTTGCTCTGCATGACGTCCCAATTGTTCTCCACGCAGAGGAGCAGGGAGCCACCTGAGGGGCCTGGAGGGGCGGGTGCCTGTGTGTTGGGGCCGCCATCTGCTCAGGGAAGGGGAGGCCTTCTCTTTACACAGAAACCTGCTGTTCTCGAGGGACTGACAGAGTTCACACCTCTCCTGGGTTTCCATCCCGTCTTCTATCAGAGTACCGAAACATGTGGTTTCAGAGACCTCCCTTCAGGCTGTGGAGGGTAGAGCCTGGCAACAGTGTGTACGTGTGAAGACAGAAGGGCAACCCCGTGCCCCGAGAGGATGGCAGGCCCGCTGCAGCGGGGAGTGTCCCAGGCGCCCTGTGCTCGGGGCCGCTGGGTGGGCGCAGCGAGGTGGCGGTCCCTTTGTAGGATGGTGGCCCTGTGGATGTTGGCCTCGGCTTGCTCAGGCAGACCCTGAGAGTCACAAGTGCACTTTTGTACAAACTGCTGCTCCCGCTCTTCGTAGGTCTGGATGCTGCGAGTGACAGGCTCCAGGGCTGCGGCCCGGGGCTAGGTCTTCCCGCGTTCTTTTCCTCCCACCTGCTGAGCCCCTGCTCGGTCTCACAGCATGGCCATCGCTACCCCCCCACAAAGCCACACTGGTTCTGACGCCCAATGGCACAAGCCTGAGGGTCACACTGCAGCTAGCACGGTCACCCAGAACGCTGGCTTTCAGCCCTGCCCGGGGCTGTTGGAGTGCACAACCGGAGGGGGCACGAGCCTGGCACTCGTGCTGAAGGTGCACAGGCGCACAGCACGGTCACGTGACGCCACACCGTCCAGCTGTCCCCTTGGCGGGTGGTGTGGCTCAGATGCAGGTGCCTGCAGGTCCCCAGGGAAGGAGTGAACGTTTATAAGAAGAGTCGACGCAGTGGTCTCCTCCCATCCTTGGGGACATGGGGGCGCTTTCCCCGTGGGGTGGGGGCTGGAGCTCCCTAGGCTTGGGGTCACCCATGCCTCCCTGTCCACAGCCCCCCAGGGTGCCCGTTCTCTGCCGGCACAGAAACCACCTCCAAGGCTGCCTCTACACTTGTGCTCTTTCCTCCTCTGCAGTCGTGGCGGACCCCTAGGAGCTGGGGTGACTGCTGATCCCCGTCGAGGAGCTGGGGTGCCTGTAGGGAGCGTGCCAAGGACACTGCAGAGCAGGGACCCCTGTGTCCAGCCTGCTCCCTCCATCCATACACAGCCCTCACCTCCATGGCCAACACTGCCCAGGGCAGAGGGTGGGAGTTTGGGGAGACCCTGTGGCCCGAGCTTCTGCAGTGTGGCTCCTGACCGCCTCCAGAGAGGCGAGTCCTGCCGCCTGTGGGTGCGGGGGCGGCACTGACGGGGTCCCTGTGGAGTGCTAGGTCAGACCCCAGGGTCCCTGATGGAGACACGGAGGTAGAAGCTCGTTGCCCTGATGAGAGGCAGCGTGCGGCCCACAGGTGGATGGAGCAGCTCTATGCAGACCCTGCACCCTGGAAGGAGGGAGCGGTGGCACTCTTAGCACCCAGAGAGCACCCCCTCCGCCATCGTCAGACCCTCGGAGCCCCCATCACCCACACAGGCGGCTCTGAGACGCACTGGTGTAGGGGATGTCTGATGAGCAGGGTTAAGGAGCTTTTGCAAACATGGACCAACAGTAGCAATGCAGTGGCCAGCATAGGGTCGGGAACAGGGAAGGCCCTGCAGCCGGGTGCTCTGAGCTGTCCCAGCAAGAAGACGGGCAGGGCCACATGCTTTGCACCCCCGGGCCTCTGCCCTGCCTCCAGGGACACCCCACATGGCCTCATGTGATCATTTCATCTACAAACTGCACAACGATGTGTATGTTTTCACCCTGAAAGTACCTGTGTACCCCAAGGCTGTGGCCCTCACCTGAGCACTGAGCAGATGCTGCACGGGCTCCCTCTGGGGCCATGTCCCTGCTCCCATCCTCACAGGATTAGTTTTTACAGAGTGCTGGAGGGTGCCTGGTGGTGGTCAGAAATGTTACTCAGGCCACCGAGAAGACAGACGCACAGGTGCAGGCCCCGTGTGGGCGCCCCAGTGCCCTGGGCTCGGCTCAGATGAACTGAGCACAAGTGAACACACGTCACAATGGCCGGTTTCCATCTAGCTCCAACATCCTCTCTGCCTTCTTGACATAACAGGGTCTCCAATCAACCTTCCCAAAGCAAGTGGGGGCTTCTTTCTAGAAAGGTTAGGAGTGAGTGAGCATTCTCCTCCAGTGACTCTTGAGGAAAGGTGCTGTCACTGTGATCCCAGTCTGGAACCCAGGCTGCAGGGCAGCATCCGCCTCATGTGAAAAGAGTAGGGTTCCTGGTGACCAAGAAAGAATAAGCATAGGAAGGAATGAGAGGGGCCGGGTTTTGTGCAAGATTTAATAAAAAAAACAGACAAAAATAGGAGTGGCTGCTTTCAGCATTTCCCAGGCTGTGAAGGGTTTACCACGACGGTCTGGGGTGCGGCTCTAAGCGCTGTCAGTGGATGTGTAAGAGCTGCTGCCCTCGCCCCAAGCCCACGGGGCAGGTGCAGGCTCAGCCCCACCCTGGACTTCCAGGTCCTCCCTGGGCTGCAAGCTGTCAGCATGGGACCCACAGCACAGCCTCGTGGCCCCTCCTGCCCCGCCTGTGCGCGGGGTGAGACAGAGCTAGCTTATCCCAGGCTGCTGGGCCGTAATACTGACAGGGAGCCAGAGCAAGGCGGGGCAGGCTGCAGAAACCAGGGAAAGCTTGGATGAAGACCCCAGGGAGTGGAGCGAGCCACCCACAGGCCAGTCTCTCATGCATCCGACCACAGTCAATGCAGACAACACCACCAAGAACGAGGACAATAAAAAATGAAGGGATGGACAGGAGTGGCACGGGGGCTGTGGCCGGGAAGTGTGTCCAAGCTGCACGGGAGCAACTAGTCGCGCTCCAGGTCCCGGGACTCAAAGAGCTTCAGGCGATCTTGCACCGTCAGGCCTTCCTTCAGACTCTGGTGGAAAAACAGACAGGCTGTTGGCCTCGGCCCTGCAAGGTGCAGGCGGCCAGTGGTGAGGCACGGTGCGGGGCCCCGGAGGGTTAGTGGGTGTGCGAGGAGGGCCACGGCCCCTGAGGAAGTGGTGTTACTGGACAAGAAAGAAAAGTCAGAAACAAGACCGATGCTGAGCTTAGGGCTCTGCCAACAGGCAAGGATGAGACCGATGGCGCTGGAGAGAAGACCCTGCGGAGAACAAGGAAGCACCTGCTGTGCCCATGTGTGGCCCCAGGAGGCCCCGAGCACGCTCCAGGGCGGACAGCCTCCCTGCTTCCGGGCCTCGCGGGCCCCGCTGGTCTGTCTTGGGGCTTGGGGACATGGAGGCCGTTCCTGAGCCTTTCAGGACAGAAGCCTGCCCATGTTCGTGTGGACCTCGGTAAAGGTGAAGAACATCCAGACCCTGGTGGCACGTGGAGGCTTCCCTGAGGATGAGGGCAGGTCTGGGCCCGCTTTCCCTGGGGCCCCGGCTTCACCCAGGACAGTGCTGCTTGCGTGTTTTTTAATTCTGACGCCACCGAGTGGTCAGAGGAATGGGGATAAGCCCAAGTCCCACTGTGACTCCCCTTAACGTGCACAAGGGCCTCACGTGTTCTCAGGACTCTGCTCCCAAGCATGCCTGCTTCAGGTCAGTGCCGCTGTCTACACAGCAGCCAGTCTCACCTAGGGGCTGGCCCTGGCACCTGCCACCCACGCTGTTCTAGCTGGGAACTTCCTTCCCTAAGGGGCAGCAGACTGCCAACTCCTGAGACCCGAGGACAGAGGCTTCCGAGCCCTGTCACAGGCTGGGAGCGGTCAGTTGCTGCCCACCCAGCACCTCTGTGACTCTATGCACAGCTGCCCAGAGAGGTCCCCCATGAGGACCCTCGACACGTCCCGTCTGCTCTTAGTCCCAGAGAAGCCCAGCTGCTTGTAAGACAAGGAGCTGCTGACCCAGTAAGGCCAAGCCCTCCTGTCCCTGAGGGAGGCAGGTACACAGACTGCCTATAGGAAAGGCAAACACCCACAGAGCAGACCCTGGTTCAGAAAGCCCTGGGGACAGTTTCTGGGTGACTTCATTCCTGTCTACAAACACATCAGGACAGAGGGCCACACAGGACCCATGTGGCTGGCTGTTGACAGCACGTCATAGCCCCAGTGGTGTCCCTGAGGAAGACTGCAAGGGCCCAGCTTCTCCCTGGGCCAGCAAGAACGCTGTTCTTATGTCAAAAACTTGCCAAGCCAAACTGACTCACACGTGACTCTAGGGAACCCTGTCCCTGAGCTCCTCCCAACTCACTTGGTCCAGCCTCGCCAAGACCGCCGGACAGACCCTCGCTTCCTGCCCCCGCCTTCACCAGCGTGCAAGCCCTTCCCAGCACACCTCTGCAGAGGCCTTGTGAACAGAGACCTGGCCCTTTGTCCAGAGCCCAAACTCCTTGCTGTACTGCTTTCAGGATCTTAGTTCCCGACCAGGGACTGAACCTGAGTCCTGGCACTGAGAGTGCCCAGTCCTAACCACTGGATTGCCAGGCAAGTCCTGCAAAGTACTTTATTTCCCCTGACACGTGGTCAGCCTGAGGAGGTGGGCTCACTGGAGCAAGGCTTCCCTGAGAGTCCTGTCATTTACAGGTACAGACAGAAGACCCACAGCACTCACGGTGAACCTGTAGCAATGGCAGGCCAGCCTCAGGCAAAGAAGTAAGACTTGTCAATAAGAAAACCAGAAACTAAAGAACAAGTCTGGGTTTGCTGAACAGAATTGCTTCCATGTTTAAAGAAAAAAACCCCAGTTTTTAACCAGTCTGAACCATATCTGGTGGTAAGTGACTCAGGTCTGTAGGAACCTAAGTGAAACCGAGCTGAGGATAAACTGCTCAGGTTTTCTTCAGCTCCTCCTGATGCAGACCCTGCCGCCTGCCGGCGAGTGGGGGGCACCTGCTGGGCGGCCCTGAGGCCTCATCAGCATCCCCTCTGCCCAGCCCTTCCTGCTGCCCTCAGCTTCCTTACCAGGGAGGGAGTCAACAAGATCAGGTCAGTCGAGCTGGTGAGCCCACTCAGGAGGGAGTGACCCTGGGCCCTGGATGCCTGGCCCTTTGGGAGCCAGGTGTGTTCAGGCGCAGTGCTGGAGTCAGGCAGCCAGTGTTCAGCCCATGCCTCCCGTCTCTGAGGAGCCTGGGTCCTCAGGGCTGGGAAACGTTCAGCCCCTAGTGCCTGTGGGCCCCTTGCTCTGCTGAGCATCTGCCAAGCTACAGGCATGAGGCATCAGCCCCCTTGGACTGTCGATCCTGGGGGTGGGGAGTGGGAACTACTTCAGCGATGGGAGGCTCTCGTCAAGCTCGCCTCCTGACAGAGGGCAGCAGTGTCCCAAGAGAACGTGAGCACACACCATTCAACACACGCAGGATGAAGGGCTGACAGCACCTGCGCCCCCCCAGGATGCGGCTCTGGGCAGCCCACCAGGCTGGGGGAGCACCCCTCTGTTAAGAGGTTACAGTAAACTCCCCGGAAGAGGTAAGAAACTTCACATAGATCCTGTCTGTGCTGCTGAGCAGGAGGAACGAGAGTGACGGGAAAACGAGCTCCCGTGGAGGAGTGAGCAGGGCATGCAGGCAGCGCCCTCACGGGCGGCAGGCGAGTGGCGTGAGAGGAGGTTTACCTACACGACAGGGGGCCGGGAAGCGGGTCGTTTCAGTTATCCCATGAGACCTGCTCAATTACGGACTGTCAGGGGAAGAGCAAAAACAAGACACACACACAGTAAATCCTAAGTGCAACAAGCTGGGCACCCCACCCTCCGCCCCACCTTCCCGCAGACGGGTGCACAGGGGCAGGGGCCCAAGTGGAGGAAAGTGTGTGGACGGCATCAGTGTGAACTGTAGACGTGCGAGGGGCAGTCCAGATGGCAGGACGGCCCCCGGGAGCCCCGCCGTCACTGAGGAGACAGTCCTGCTGCTGTGCAAGGGGCACTCGGCCTGAAGCCCTGGCACTGACCCAGTAGGATGTGCATGACTTGAGGCACCCTGGGGACCCTCCGTGCAGCCCCTGGTGGGCTCTGCACACCCAGGGCGGGCCCCCAGACTCACCTTGGACCTGAGGCCTCTGAGCTGCCGGCCGACACAGGACCTGTCTGTCTTCAGGAAATCAGGATTGCTTTTGGACTTCATGATGTCTGAGAAGGTGAAGAAGGCACGGTGCTAGTTTTGTAAACCCCCCAGAACACACAAGTCTGAGAGCTTCCCAGCTCAGCATCATCACTCACGTGACATCTCCGTCAACAAACCAGGGGAACACCAAGCCTATAACCATGTCACAAGATCCTCAGAACAAGGCACAGGGAGACCTGGAAGATGACTATGGCCCCAGGCTGGCCGCAGCCCCCACTGCTGCTGGGCAGCCCTGCTGCCTGCTCTCCTGAGACCCCGGGATTTAGCTTCCTATACTTAAGGCTCGCTCTCCCTCTCTTGTGAAGAGCTGCATGGTGACTAGCGGGCCAGCCCCTGACTGTGGAAGCTGAGCCAGCTCTGTGCTCCTGTGTGAAGTGCCAGGTCACAGGATGCATGCGCTTCTGGCTAACCCAAAGTCCTTTGGCCCCCAGACTCCTCGGAAGCAGCCACTGTTACATCTGAGCTGAACTTTGCTGCCTGTGGCCTACCTGCCTTTAAGAGAACTCCTAATGCCTGCCCAGCAGTGATGCAGACCGCTGAGCAGGGGGTCCTCACTGGCTGAGGGGGAGGTTCCAGGATCAGTGAGTTTGGACATGGCCTCAGTCCTAGCCCTGCGGCCTTTTATAGGTTTTTTTGTGAAACCCCAGGATCACAAACCAGTGAGAGCCACTTCCAGAATGAGGGAGTCCATCAGGAAAATGAGAAACATGGGTGCTGTTGTGAACATGTGTGCCGAAGAGTGACTGCCCCTTGTGAGCTGGTGCCCACCACGCCCTGCCCATTCAGCCAGGGAGAGTGTCTGACACAGAAAAGGGTCCTCTGCTGGATCAAGGGCCAGCAACCCCACCACCTAATTTCCAGAGAGAATCCAGAGCCGCAGGACTTACCGTATCCGGACACAGGCGGGTTCTCTGGGGACTTCTCACCCAGCGCTTCTGTGGCGGCTTTCAGCTGCTCCTTCAACCTGCTGACGTCACAGTCGGCCTTTGCCCTCACAATGCTGAGTTCTGTGTAGATATCTTTGTACTTGTCACTGGCGTACTTCTTGTCCTTGGGGACAAAAGGATAGCAGAGAGCGGTTACAGACAGGCTGGACTAGGGATGCCTCCAGAAGCTGAGGAAGCAGGTGGAGCCCATCTTGCGGAGGCAGAAACCAGACACAAAGTACAAGGGGCGTGGCAGGGCCCCCGCTCCGTGCAGGTTGGTACTGCCTTGACCCTGAGGACACCTCTGTGCTTCAGGCTGGAAAACCCTGTCCTGGCTACCCAAGTGAGTCCGCCTCCAGGAGCAGCCGCAGGAAACGACCGTGCACTGGGGCCTTGGGCCCCGCCAGGCGGGGGACAGGACTGGCCCGCCCTCATGTCCACTGCCCCTGCCCCAGAACATTCGTGATGGTGAATGTACTTGAGCCTCTGCGTGTGATCTGGACACGCGTGGCCCCACCCTCCAGGCCCTTGTGGGACATGCGTTACCCGCAATGCCGTCTGTAACTCATCCTTGAGGGAACTGATCTCCTGTTTCAGGTACTGAATTTCTGATTCCTTGACCCTCAACAAGACCTAGAGAAAGAGAAATGAGGGAGCTGCAATGTCACGCAGTTGTTCAGTGTTTCGTTTTGGAGATCAGCACTTGTGATGTGGTGGAAACCAGGGAGGGGGGCAGGTGAGTGAGGATGGGTTAAATGTAAAGGTCCCTGGGGCCTCAAGAGGTCCCCTGCTGCCTGGTGGCTAACTGTTCTTTGTGTCCTGGCATGACTTGGGTTTTCCCATAAGCTGGGGCCACCCCTGGTCCAACGTGCAACTCATGCGCTGCAAGCTGGTGAAGGGACCTGGCTCTGAGCCGTACCTCTAACTCGTAGGCGTCCTTGCCCTGTGTGAGGGGCGAACCAGCGGCCTCGCCACCGGCGTCCCCAGTCAGCAGTGTCCGTAGCCGTGAGATTTCTGCAGCCAGGCGGTTGTTCAGCTCCTGGAGACAGCGACACAACCACAAGGTGCTCTCAGAGCTGCCTGGGGCTGTGACCAGGGTGCAGTGGGCATCTGAGTCAGCACGTGAGCTGTGACTCCTGTTCAGAAGCCGTGAGCACGGGCCAGAGGTGTCCATGGAACTGCCCCGGCAGGAGCCGTGCTCCCAGCCCGTCAGTCACCACAGCCGGTGCTGAGCAGTTCCGTTTGTTCCCCAGTTTCTGCAGGGTTGGGGCCTTTTGCTGCCCTCAGCTTCTTTCCAGCTGACACGTGGTTGCCTTTGGCCACTGCAGTGACCAGGCAGGCAGCTGTGGGCCCCCAGGGTCTCGAGCCAGGGCCAGGCTGACAGGCCTGTCTGCTCGGTGCCATGGGAGGATGAGTGGTCCAGCGCACACAGAGAAGCTCTCTTCAGATTAGACCTACCTTGAGCTGTTCCATCAGCCAGTATTTTAAGTGTGCCCCAGTTTTCTAAGCAGCAGGCACGTTTTAAGAAAATAATCTGACAAAATCCTATGTGAGCATTGTATGGTCTTGACTGGGAGGTGTTTAAACATGGTCCCAGCCTTGGGGATGGAACCCTGGACCCAAACCACACAGTGACAAGAGAAACAGAGCCCAAGGTTAGCAGCTGCGGTGACCTCTGCCCACACCCTGGTGACGCTGTTCATCGGGTGGGGCCTGGAGAGCGGGGCCCCTGTGAGGCTCACCTGGTTGTGGGCGTTGAGCTCCTGGTTCTCACGCTGGCACTGCCGCAGGGCCTGCCGCTCGGCCTCCAGAGCCTGGGCCAGGTGGGCATTCTCCAGGCACTTCTGCGAGTACTGCTCTGAGAGGACCTCCAGTTCACGTTGCACAGACTGCAGCTCCTCCCTGGGGAGCGGGCACCACTCACTCCTCTAGCCATGCCCTGGGCCCAGCGTCCCCTTCACGAACCCAAGGGACAGTGGGGCACCACCAGGCGGAGCAGCCACGAGCACCCCGTGCCCTGTCACAGCTGCAGGTCTGCAGCCCGGCCTAGGGGCTCCGTCCATCCCCTGGGAGTCTGAACTCCTCTCCTGGGGTTCGGGATCGGGAGAGCCTCACCCTTGCACCAAAAACGTGCTGTTTCAGATGGAGGCCAGAAGTGGGTCATTTCCAGCGCTGGCTGACAGCCTAGACCAGGTCTACCTGGATTTGGAAAACCAAGGCCAAGGGGCTACAGGCTGCCTCCAGCTGAGGTGAGCTGCTGCTGCCGCCCACCCACCTCTACCATGAATATGGCCCCCGTGAAGGCGGCTCTGCATGGCCTGCGGTGGCTGAGGGAAAAGCTCCCAGGGGTGCTGGTTCCCCTGAGGGCAGAGCTCAAGAGCGGCTGTGGGGTGGACGTGCCTCACCCTGCCGCCTTGGCAGAGAACACTGGAGCGAGTGCTGTTTGAACACATGGGGGTTGCGGCCACATCTGCACGCACAGTTGGGGCATCCACACTGCGCCGCCGCCCCCCCACCCCTCAGCTTCTGAAGCAGGGGCAGCTGACGGAGAGAAGGGATCCAGGGGTCTCCCAGGTGGGTCCTGAATATCTGACATTGCAAGACCTCTTCTGCCACATCTTACTCTTTAGGTTTTACTAATTGGCTTCTGTTCAGCTCAGTAATGGGACCACTTGGGCCGTGAGAGCAGTGCTAGACCAGGGTGGTGTGGGGCACCTTGAACAGGAGGCTCTGAGTGGCCTTAGTGCCTTGGGCCTCCACCTGCACTCCCGGGACCCACATCTCAGAGGCTTGCACAAAGACAGGTGGAAGGCACTGTCTGCCCAGTTGGCCGGCCCAACTCACAGGTACTGTCGCCGCAGAGCCTCGACATCTGCATTGACGCTGCTGATCTGGGACCGCTGGCTCTTCTCTAGCTCCCGCTCCATCTCCTCTCGGTGGGCGTTCTTCATGGCTTCAATGGCTGTGGACAGGATGTGGCCCTTAGTACCAAGAGGCTTGGGGCGAGACCAACAGGAAGGAGGCATCCTGCACCTTTGAGGCTTGGCCCATTGGCAGTTGGGCCAGGAGGATTTCCAGGGAACACCCCGACAAAAGGGATCAGGTGTGGTTTGGTTTTAATATTAAAAAAAACCCAAAAACTGATTCCATAAACATCCAATATAATATAGAACAAGCAGGCTATTGGGTTGGCCTGTCTTCTCTCTCAGTGCTAAGACCCAAAGCTGCTGTGGAACACAAAGGTGGGAATGCCGGCTGAGGCCCAGTGCTCAGTGCTGCCACTCCAGGCTCTGACGGACCAAGGCCCTGCAGAAATGTCCACTATCAGAGAAGCACCAGCAAAGAGGCTGACAAGATGAGGACAACCCCTCCGATGCACAGGTGTGACTGGCTCGGGGCTCATGAGCTCCCGAAGGGGTCCTTAAGCCAGCTGTCCCCCTGGAGAAGTGTTAAAGAGCTTGTGCCCAGCTCGGTGAGAGCCCATTGCCCATCCCGGGGTGAGCGACTCCCACCTGAGATGGTGGCCGCAGTCTCCTCAGCCAGGAGGCGGTCTTTTTCCTCCCGCAGTTTCTCCAGCTCCCGCTGGTGCTGCCTCTGCAAGTCCTCAATCTTCTTCTGGTGTGTCTCTTCCATGGCTGCAAACCCCCGCTCGCACGTGGCCTGGAAGGTGCACAAGGGGCTTTACCCACTTCCCTTCGGCTCCCTGAGCAAACCGTGACTGAGCAGACCACGGCCCCACCCCACCTGGCCCGCAGGGCAGGGAGCTGCTCTCTGGGGCTGAGCCTGGCACCAGCTCACACCCAGAGCAGTTAGAAAAGGGTGTTCACCCGGTGAGTCCTGCCTGATTCCTGTGGTTGTTTTGAGTTCCATTTCTCTGCAAAGAGCTGGTACTGTGGGTAGGAGGCTGCTGCCGTGGAGTTGAAAACAGCCCACCCTGACCCTTTATGGAATGACTGCCAGGTAGGACTGACAGGAGGACAACAGAGAGCATGGGCAGAGGCTGGCATGTCTGGTCTTGAGTTAACCCCTGACATGCTCAGCACCGCCATACCCCAGGTGTCGGGCACAGTTGTGAACAGAGATGTCTTGGTCAGCTGCCAGGAGCTGAGAGACCCTGTGAATGACAGTGACCCAGGACATGGAGCCAGGGGCCCAGTCCTGCCACTGCCCAGCTGGCCACTCAAATGGTCACTGAACTTCTCAGGCATGCGCTGAAAGAATCAGATTAGGGTGTGGGACACTTCCTTTTCCTTGTGAAGGAGTACAAAGAGGGGTCCTAATTACCAGGTGCCTCTGCTCATTGCATTGAGGTCATGGCAGAACTGCTCCCCAGCCTGGTCTGTGTCTTGCTCAAGCCTGGCTTGGTTTATGACCTGGATGTGGGCTTGGGGACCTAAGAAGTGGTCCGACTACCCCACACACCCACCCTGTATCCACCAGGCCTGGCGCATCAGGTTAGTCTTCTGCCCGGGGTGGGTGAGTGTGCCTGTGGCGGTCAGGGCTGGTGTGTGCAGCTCTTTTGTGGATGGAGGCACACTGGGACCTCTCTAACAGAGAGGGCTTCGCTCAGGTGCAGGAACCGCGTTTCTCAGTTCTCTTTCAGAGCTGCGAGAATGTGGCCACATCACCTCCGATGTAAGTCTGGAGGACCTTCTTGTGCCCGGATCCAGGAAGGATACCAGGAACCCAGTCTGTGTCTGGGTACCTCCACCTGACTCCCACAGAAGCAGACCTTTCTGGACTCCCCAGTCAGCATTTTCACACTCAGGGTCTGCACTTCCCTGGGACAGACCTGCTGTCCACCACTCACTGGGCATTCCTCCTCACAGTGCCTTCCAGATGGAGCCCCTGTCTCCTCTTTGCAGCTCACACACCCCTGGACACCTGGAGAGTCCCAGAGCTGCCCTCCCACATGCTTTGGTTCAGCATGGCCTCTCAGTCAACACATGGGCGGGGGAGGGTCTAAATCACAGTTTGATGGGAATGTTTTCGAGTATTTCAAGATAAGGATCAGAACTCTTGCAGAAACACTCAGGTAGCTCCTTGGAGAGCACGTGTTAATCTGTAAATACAATTCTAACTTTTAAGACAGTAAACCCTGGGGTCAATCAGTTCCTTGATGACTACTCTGCAGTTGCTAGAAAAGGCACCAGCTTGCAGCTATCAGGAGAGGAACCGAGACCCCAGTCTCCCTCAAGTGACTGCCGTCAGCCCGGCACCCAGGAGAGCAGCTTGGTTGTAATTCCTGTGCCTCACAGGACCCAACGAGAACAGACTCAGGAAGAGAATGCTACCCAAGTCCCCAGCCTGGCCTACATCCCTTCAGGGGCCCAGCATGCACCCACATCAGCACAGGGGCTTCTTCCCTCCTGACTTCAGGCCAACTGCGCAAGAGGCTGGTCCGCACCTCATCTAAGTTGCCTCCCGTGCAGACCCTGAGTGTCAGGAAGCAGCTGAGACGTTACTTTCAAATGCCTTGCTGGTGTGCCCTGACCGCATGGGACCGTGCAGCACTTTCCATCAGCCCTTGAAGCTTCCTTGGGATTCAGAAAGGCTTTCAAAAGGTTTGGACTGATTTGGGAAAAGGCAATAGAAACAGCCTGGCAGGTGCCAAAGTGCTTGCTAATGTCCAAATGCTTATCACAGCAGCACACCCACCTCAGCACTGGACGTGGTGCCGGCTAGAGAAAGGGGGACATGTGAGGAGCCTGGCATTTACTGCATTTGTGTGGCGAGAAGCCCAAGAGCAGGCGGCCCAAAGCCCAGGCAGCGCCACACAGCTGAATGCTCCGGGGCCGGGAACATCACCTAGACAGGCCAGGGCCATGGCGTTCTGCCCACCAAGGGGGGTGTGAAACAGGATGGATGTGCTGGGGGAAGGTCACTTCTCCAAACCTGTGGAGAAAGGAAGGCTGCATCTCCTTGATCAAACAACCATTCCTGCACAAGGTTCCCCACTGGACGCAGCCCCTGGGGGGGAGGTAGGAAGTGGCCCTTGACACTGTGTGGCAAACACCCCTGTCCTTCGAGAAGTCCAACTTTATACTCCCAGGACAGTTAGGAGAGGAACCTCACCAAGTCCAGGCCTTCACAGCCTGGAGGTGAGGGTGAGGCCCCCCTCAGGGCTCTGCTGGGACCCCCTGAAGCCCACAGGCAGTCAAGGGGGAACAGCACATTTGGAGCTAAGAACCCTGTCCCAGCTTCACCCTGACCGCTCTGCTTTGAGACCTTGAGGCTCTCCAAGTCCCTCTGGCGCTCCTCCTGCAGCGAGGCCACGCCGTCCAACGGGTCCTTGTGCTCCAGCTCCTCCCGCAGGATGTCCACTTGTGCCTCTAGCTCCTGGATGCGCTCCCTCAGCCCCGCCACGGACTCGGCCTCGCCCTCAGCTGGTGAGCCGGAGAGGGGCTGGCCCTGGTAGTGGCCCAGAGTTTCCTGCAGGCACCGCAGGGTCTGCGAGTAGTGCTCCTGCAGGGCCCGCAGCTCCTCTTCATGGATGGTCTGGAGCTCTCTGACCTTGAGCTGGAACCTGGCCTCCAGGGCCTGCACCTGCTCCACAGGCCGCCCCCCCAGGTCCTGCTCGGCCCTGGCCCCGGCGTCAGGCTGGCCCTGGGCCCCGCCACATGCAGCCTGCAGCACGCCCTCCACGTGGATCTCCTCCTTGAACCGCTCTGGTGGGGCAGCCAGGCGCTCGCCATGCGCCAACTCCAGACGCCTCTGCTGCTGGTCCAGCTGGGCGACCTTTGTCTGGTGCTCCACGTTCTCCTTTTGGGCGAAGGTGAGCATGTCCAAGTACTCGCCCTTCCGCTTGCGGAGAAGCTCCTCGGACTCCCCCTGCAGGGCCCCCAAGGCCTGCTCATGCCCCTGGTAGGGGGCCCCCTGGCCCAGCCAGGACTCCTTGTAGCCCCGGAGCTCATTCTCATACTCGAGCCGGATCCTGCAGGCTGCATAACACACCTGAGCCTGAAGAATCGCATCCTGAACTAATAAAGAAGAATACTGGCCGAGGCCTCCCAGACAAGCACGGCGCGAGAGATGCTGGGACGCCTGGAGGAGCTTCCGACAGTCCCCGAGTGCCTCCACAGAGGGAAGCGAGGTTAGGGAGGCAGAAATCTCCCCCAGGAGACTGGCCTTATCTTTAAGCTGCAGGGCGAGCTCCTCCTGAATAGCAGCTAAGACCCCAGAACTCTGGCTGGACAAGGGACAAGCCAGGGAGCCGGCTGGGTCCTGATGACTTGGTGCTTCTACCAGCGGGCGCCTGGCCCAGGACACCTGGTCACCGTCTCTGGTGCCCAGCGGAAGCTGCAGGGCTTCCGAGACCTGCTGCATCACCCTCTCAAAGGCAGGGGTCCGATAGGCCCCCAGGACCTCCTGCAGCATGCACTTGTGCTGCTGCAGGGCCACCTGTGTCCCTTGGAGGGTCTCCTGGATGCTCTGGAGCCTGCGGTGGAGGGACTCCCTCATCGAGCATGCGGCGAGACTGAGCTCGGCCCTGACCCACGTGGCGTCCGCCAGGGCAGGGGCCAGGGCTGGCTGGGCACACGACTGCCTGCTTCCTGAGGTGCTGGCTGCCTCTCCGCCCAGCATCTCCAGGTGCCGGCTCAGGGACTCGACCTGGCTCCAGAACTCTCCATCCACCAGCACCTTCTTGGCCCAGGCATCTGCTGGGGCCTCTGGACAGACCACAGCACTTTCAGACTCCAGCGGCCACCGTCCTGACTGAGCCATCTCCAGGAAGACCTGCGACACGTCCAACGTCGTGTTCCGTAGCGAGTCTGCAATCTGGTCTATGAGGGCGGCTTCCAGAGCGATCTGCTCAGAGAGGAGCTGCAGCTGCTCCTGCTCGCTCAACGTCAGCATGTGTGGCAGCTGCTGGGATGGCGCCTTCTCCTCCTCAGAGAAGACTGCTTCGCCCGTGGAAGCTGGCCGGGGACGCAGGGCCTGGACAGCACCCACGAGCAGGCTCTCCAGACCAGCCAAGGGCCCTGCTCCTGCGTCCCCTGGCAGGGACCGCAGCTGTTCTCGGCAGCTCTCCAGGCAAGCCAGAGCCTGGCTGTTTTTCACCTGGAAGTCGTTGAGCTCCCCAACATGGCTCTCGACCGCCTCCGCCCTGGCCTGTTTCTCCTGCTCCAGCTGGGCGGCCAGCGCGGTGACCTGGAGCAGGCTGGCTCGGAGCTGCTCGCAGAGCCGCGCCTCGGTGCCGGCCCACTGCTGGTGCAACGCAAGCAGGGCCTCTTGGCTCTGGCCCTGCTGGCTCTCCAGCCTCGCCGTCACACCTTTGAGCTTCTCCTCGGTGACATAGAGCTTGGTCTCCAGGGAGTGGATGATGGACAGGTAAGCGTCTGGGTCGCTAGGCATGGGAAGTGAGCTGGGGGTAGCCTCTGATGACATACTTTCCTCCGAGGGTGAGCGCTCCTGACTGGTGTCCGAGGACACGCTGCTGGCCCCGGTCTTCTCACACCCGTCAGGGTGGGTATACTTCTGACACTGGATTGTGGAGAATCGGATTCTTTGCCTCTTAACGCCAGGTACTCCCTGGTCAGGTTTTGAGGACACTTCCGACCTCAGGAGAACCATACTCTCTTCTCTGCTGGGGCTGCTGTCTCCCAGCTCCTCCCCTGGGGCCACATCCTCCAGCCCCGAGCAGGGCAGGCCTGGAGGCATGCCGGCAGTCTGGCATTGCAAGCCCACATGAGCAAGGCTGTCCTCAGCATCCTCCAGAGGCTCTGTGGCCAGTCGCTGTTCGATCTCTCCCTCTGCCTGGAGCTTCCCGTCTGCCTCATCTAGGCTGCTCCCCAGGGCAGACGTCCCCAGCAGAGCCTGCTGCAGGCCCTGCCCCTCCCTCTCTAGCACCTTCTCGTGCGCGTCCTGCAGGCGCCGCAGCTCCTCCTCCTTTTCCTGGAGCCGCGTGTGTGCGCCCTGGAGCTGGCCGGCCACCCTCCTGAAGGAGTGCTCTAGGCTCTGGTAGTCAGCCTCCCTCCCCCTCAGCTTCTCCTGCAGTGCAGCCACATCCCCATCGGACAGGGTGACACGGCCCAGCAGCTCTTGGAAGCGCTGCTGCGTCAGATCGCGCTCATCCCGCAGGCTCTGCACATGCTCGGCCAGCTTCTGGATGCTGGCCTCCTTCATCTCCAGCTGCTGTTCCAGCCGTTGCACTGCCTCGCTGCCCTCGGACCCGGTGCTCAGCTTCTCTTCCTGCAGCGCCTCCACCCGGTGCTCGTGCTCCTGCAGCCGCCCCTCGAAGGCGCGGGCCCTGTCCTCTGCCTCTGCCAGGCTCCGCAGCAGCTCCTGCTTCTCCCGCTCGCAGCTCCCCAGCAGCAGCTCGTAGTTCCTCTGCAGTTTCTCCTCCATCAGCCTCTGGGCCCGCTCACTGGCGCCCAGCTGCTGGCTGAGGTCGGCAATGCGCTCTTGCAACTGCTGTACCTCCTTGTGCCGGTCCCGCTGCAGCGCCTGCTGCCGCTCCAGGTCCCGCAGCTCCTGCGTCCTGCCCAGCAGCAGGGCCTCTGCGCTCTGCAGCTTCCGCTCGCTGGCGCGCAGCTGGGCATTGAGAGCGGCCTCACTGTGCTGCCGCTCCTCCAGCTGCTCACGCACCTTGTCCTTCTCCAGCCTCAGCTCGCCCTGGAGCTTGGCCAGAGCCTGCTCCTTGATGGCAAGCTCGGCGGCGGTGTTGCCCAGCCGCGCCTGGAGGCTCCGGATCTCGGCCTCGTGGTGCCAGATCGCATCCTTGGCCTCCCCGTAGCTGCGCTTCAGGGCCTGAATCTGCCGTGTGATGAGCTCCTGGCGCTGGCACTGGGCCTCCAGCTCGCCGTGCAGATCCTGGTTGACTCTGTGGAGCCTCTGCCAGGTGCCAGACGGGGAGGTAGCCACTTCGGTCTTAAAAAAACCGATGAAACACGGGTTAGTAACACTCGGCCTCCCAGTTCTGAGTGTCACACCTCTGGCCAGGGTCAACCACAGAAAGGCTCCTTTGTGGGTCTGTCTTTTATCCTTTGCACAATTTTTTTCCCCCATTAAAAAAAATAACGAATCATCTCAATTTTTTTGGTAAGCAGCTGTTTCCAGATAAACAGAAAACATGAACAGTAACATCAAAACAACTCTAACTGCACAGCTTCTAGGAGAAATAAACCAAACAAAACTGAATAATGGAGCACAGTGGTAAGCAAACGAAGACTGCGGGACGAGAGACTCTGGCAGGAGGCTCGGGTAGGAGCAGAGCAGAGCATCATTTGTTTTGCGAAACAAAAGGCACATGGCTCTAGACCACAAACCCCACAAGAGCGCAGCACCCGATACGCTGCCCTTTCCTTCTGGGACAGGAGAAGGAAGGGCGGCACCGCTGGTGGACGTCAGTGAGGTGACATCCGAGACACTCCTGTGGGAGGTGGCGCCTGTCCTCCACAGTGACAGGAAGAACTAACCTCTACCTGCAAGAAGACAAAACGAGGGGGAACGGAAACCATGGAGTAAAACATGAGAGTTAACAAAACAAACCTTTGTGGAGTTGAAAATAACAAAGTGAAGCATGCAGAAAATAAAACAATTGAAACAAAACTCCTCCAACTGAAAGGCATGCAGAACAGACAGAACTAATTAATGGAGGAAAAAACAAGAACATGAAGGGAGTGAGAACAGCTCAGCCTCAGAACTGGCCTGCCCATGGCTCCCTTGAGGTATGCTGGCGGGGAAGCCACAGGTGTGACACTCAGTTACGTAAGTTAAGAGACACTCCACGGCCACATATGCCAGCTCCTCCTCCCAGCTGGCAGCACGGCGCCCACCCGCCACCATGACCCTCCTCACCCTTAACCCCAGAGGCCCTCCTCGCTCACCCAGACTTGAGATCATAAGCAGTGTGAAAGCAGAGGGAGGTTAAGAGTAACTGCCCTCTGACCTGGGAGGGAAGTATTAACATATCTGGCCTGGGGGCAGGCTCATGCAACCATCCAGGTCAGACACAGGTGGGTTCTAAGGTTAGCAATGTGCAAAATCTGCTGCCAGGATCTTCTCGGCCTGGCAGCCCAACCGGGGTTTAAAAAGGAGCTCCCCAAACCTGCAGGGTCTCTGCACAGATGTCCCAGAAAGTCCTGGAGTGACACGTGCAGGAAAGAGGGGTATCCCCACACTAGGTCCCAGGGCCTCAGGGTCTGAACTGGGCATGGCAACAACTATGGCTGAAGGGCTGGGAGGAGGATCCAGGGCACATGGGGTGCCTAGGGCTGAGGCCAAAGCTGGGGGAAAGGGAAAGCAGAAAAAACATCCACCAGAGTGTTGTGGAGAGGGGCAGGAGGACAGACTGTCCCGAAAGTCCACCGGACCAAGGAAACCAGTGTGCTGCGGTCTGCAGATGCAGAGATGTATCACAGCAACTCAGGGGCCTGGAGAGTCGGGGGTGCCCTCTGGGACCATGTCTTGGTCTACACAGACAAGGAACCTGGTGCTGGGGGAGGGGGTGCAGGACCCAGACTGGACTGCGGAGCCCTCAGCCTTGCATGACGAGACTTACGTTCTCAGCCCCACCATGCTGCTTTGCTCTTCCTGGAGCTCAAGCTCACCTGTCTGTTACCTCTCCCCACCGCACATCTGCTAAGGGGGCAGCAGAGTGCTGGACCCCAGAATGGAGCAGGGCCTGGAGCACTGCGGGACACGCAGCTCACACCAGCCTGCCCTGCCCAGATGCCCTCCTGCCTGTGAGACACCCGTGGCTCCCTGAAACCACCTGGCAGCTGGCACTCTGGCACAGAGACCTCTGCGGGAGACAATGAGTCTGGACTCTTGGCTTAGGAACGGGCAGCTGTGTTTCCCCCTCAAACCTCAGGCTCGGCAGAAAGTAAGATGTGGGGCTGCGAGGCGAGTGGACAGTCCCAGGCTGCCCCGTGGGCGGGGCACAGACATGGCTGGGGGAGGGGACCAGTCCTAGCTTTGCCACTGGCAGATCCTAAGGAGGCACCTGGGAGGATCCTAAGGAGGCCTGTTCCTCAGTTTCTTCTGTAAAATGAGACTAACGCTCTTCTTGTGAAGTTAGAAATGACTTGCAAACATGTGACATTGATTAATAAATATATGTTGGGCTCTTTGAAAGCTGAAGAGAAACACAACCAGAATTATTTTATTAAAAAACAAAAGAGCCTTAGCTGTAGAGGGTTCATCAGATTCTCCCAATGTTATATGAGCAGCAGAAGCACACTGTCCAGAGCGCCTGCTCCTGCAACAGAGGGCCCTGGAGCCTGGCAATGGTTTTTGCACATTCCTAGCCTGCCTGGGTCCTGCACATGAAGCCCGTGGGTGCCCAGAGGGTGGCAGCCCCTCAGCCCTACCTGCAACACGTAGCCCTCCCGGGCGCTCTGCTCCCGGCCCAGAGCCACCCTCAGCTGGTCCTGCAGCAGTCGGTTCTGTTCCAGAAGGTCTGAGGCCTCCTTCTGGCTCTGCTCCAACTGCGGGCACAAAGACACACGTGTGAAGCAGGATGGCAGCAGTGGTCAGGGGCAGAGCAGCATGGCCCTCGTGGTCCTCCCGGTCCAGCGTGGTGGAGCTCGCCGGCAGGTGCACTTCTCGGGTCTACACTGCACCAACATTTCAGCTCAGGCCGTGAGTCTGCATGGGTGCCACTAGCTTCCAGCTGCTGGGGGCTGCACCAGGCCAGGTCCTACAGGAACAAGGCCTCCATGCCTGTGTCTGAGGGAAGACCACCCACTGGGTCCTTTGGGTGTCCTCAGCATGGCCAAACAGGCCTGTGCTGCTCCAGGCAGGCCTTGTGCCAGGCTCTACACCTCAGCTCCTACAGAACCCCCTTCGACCAGCTGGACACGATGGATTTTGTATAAAATCACGTTGGCGAGGATGTGGCTCCTAGCAGCTGTGAGTCCAGCCGTCGCTTGCTGCCCCTTTCTAGCTGCAGGGCCCTGGTCAGTGGGGAGCTGGGTGCACAGTGGGCTGTGCTGACTAGCATGGGGACCTTCGTATCAAACCCTGCTGTCTGAAACAGTCTCAGAGTCCAGTGTGTGTGGCCTGCTGACCTCCAGTCCAGCTGTTTAGAGCAATCTCATTTTGGACTGTTAATTTACTGTTTTGCCTCTTTTATTGTATTAACAGGCATAGAAAAGTGTTGATACTAGTGGTAAATATCAGCCTCATAAATCTAACAAAATAAGATGAGAGGTGAAGGCAGGCCAGGTGCCCAGCCTATGGTTTCATCAGCCTCCAAAGTAAAGAGCACATCTGAATCAGCAGGCAGGCCGGCCATGCACACCCCTCAGGGCTCACCCAGGGTGCCAGGCTGCTGTGCCAAGACAGGAGCCTACCAGTTCACTGTCCTCTCCGCCAGTGCACCCCAGAAACAGGGCAGGTAAAACAGACACCCCACCTCACCCCCACCTCTGGCCCCACTGGCTCTCAGTGGCAGTACCCACCCCTCTGGTCTATGGAAAGGCCTGGTGTGCACCTCCCCTGACACAGCCCTCCTCCCAGTACTTATCTGGGACCTGTCTGTGTGCCTGGTTTGCTGAGGGGTCTACAAGCCCTTGGGCCTAGGCCCACAGCTCCTACACTCTTGGGCACAGAGGGGGCCAAGGAAGGGGGCTGCATGGAGTCAGCCAGCCCGCCCACCCGCCCTGGCTGCTACCTCCTTCTCCAGCAGAGAGGTCAGCTCGGGTGTGGAGAGTCGGTCGCTGCCATCCTCAGAGGACAGGTGCAGGGGGGCGATGGGCACTTGCTTCTCCTCCCGGAGGGGAGTGGTTTCCACCTGATGCCAGCGCTGCTCGATCTCCACATGCACATTCTGGGTCCTGAGCTCAGCAGCTGTGGGCGGCCCCAGGCCCCGGTCGACCTCCATGCGCAGGGCCGCATCCTCTGCACTGGGCCCCTCCACATCCGGCGTCCCAAAGCGCTTGCGCCGCTCCTCCCGCCGTCGTGCGCGCTCCCGCTCCAGCTCCCCGGGTTCCACCTCGGCCCGAGAGCCACCAGCCCTCTCCTGGGCCAAGGCCTGCTGGATAGGGCGGAACTCGGCCCAGTCGAAGGTCTTGGAGCGGCCCTCACGCCTGCGCTCACGCGCCCGGCTCCTCTTCTGCTCAGGGTCGGGCTCCCCAAGCTCCCCGTCCTGCTTCTCCAGTGGCCTTGTCTCCGAGGGGGAGCCGCTCCGGGCCTTCACCTGTGGCAGTGAGCTGCAGGGGCCAGAGACAGTGGTCAGGGGGGGCCCCCACCACCAGGCCCGGCCCCTGCTGTCATTATGTGCTTTTCCTGCTCGGCTGCGGTCCCTGGAGGGAACCCCAAGGGGCTCTGAGCCGTGCCAGCAGAGAAGGAGCCACAGACGATGGCCCAGAGGTTTCCTGCAGGATGATGCTAGGGTCTGAGAGCCCTGTCAGGTTTGCTGGGCACAGCCACCATCCAAACGAGGCCATATGGGAGGGAAGCGTGTGCTGGGCTGACGGTGACAAGAGTGAACGGGAGCAGCTATTTTCCTCAAGGCTTGTGGGTTTTCAATAAACAGGTAAGGAACACAGTCAGGTCTGTGTTTTAAAAAACCACTCTGGTGGCTGGTGTGACAACCCTGGGACCACCTGTGGGCCAGTGAGCTGGCCGACCCAGGTGGTTCCCATGAACCAGCACCACACAGGGGCTCACTGCTCAGGACTCGAGAAGACTAGCTGGCCCACCTGGGCCGGACGCTGGAGGACACCCATGCCTGCCCAGCAGCCGGGTGCACCCCCTCCCCCACAACCCTAAGATGTGGCTGTCTGAGGATAAGACCCCAAGACCGCCCCCCCCCCCGCCCGCCGAGAAGAGTGGCCTCTGGTCCCACCCAAGCCCTCAGCACAGGGTGGGAAGCCCCTGAGTGGCAAGGGCTAGGGCTGGGGGGCTCCAGGGAACACAGACAAGGAACCTCCAGAAGAAGCACCCTCTGTCCTAGGGGCTTCCAGGTCAGGACCACATGCCTGGACACATTTCTCCAGGATGGACCTTTCAACAACACCCAACTGCAAGCTGGCCCACAGCCCAACCGTGTGATGGTCAAGACGACATAGCACCTCTCTGCCACTCTCTCTGGAGTGGAAGCCCCTGCGACCCCACCAGATCGGGGCTGCAGCACTTGGATTGAGCTACAACTTCTGGCATCTACACCTTCCTGGGACATGGCCTAGCTGCATTAGCTGCACTTTCCTCAAAGTGTAAAAGCCCCCACACAGAGCACACAGTGAGGCAAGCACCTTGGCTCAGTCCACTGACACTGGAGTCTCTTCCTGTCAGAAGAATGCTGTGGCCCTGACATGGAGGGGAGGCGCTGTCCCGAGCCACGTGGGCCTGAGCACGTCCTCCACACTGCTTCTGAGGCCAAAGCCCCACACCTGCTCTGTGACACCCGAGGCTGACATCTCCCCACCTGGAGCTGGACCGGCCGCGCGGGGTCCTTCAAAGAGCCCAGAGAGGGCCTTGGCCTCTACTCCTGGTCCTACAGACTCAGGAACAACCAAATACTCTGTTCATCTAATGAAAAAAGGAATAGAGTCAGCACAGGACAGAAGTAGAAAGGAGAGTCCCTTTAGGATCCCTTCCTGACTCTGTTAAAAAATGTAGGTCACCAGGTGGGAAGCAGGACTTGGCAAAGGTGTGAAGCCACCCCCAGGAAGAGATGTGAGTGCTCTGTGGGCATGAGGGCCACCCTCCGGGCATGGCCTCCAACCCAAGAGGCCCTTGAGAAGCACCAGGACTACAGGAGGGAAAAGTGTAAGGGAGAAACTCTCAGGACCAGTGAAGGCTCTGAGGCCAGAAAGTGAGGACAGCAAGAGTTCTGGGTGTCACAGAACCAGCCGCATGCAGAGATCCTGTCCTGTCTGCTTTTTGTGAAATGAAAACAGCAGGTTTCTAACCATCAGGGCAGGAGGAAAGTTTGGGGCAAATGATGAGCTTCTCAGAGCATGGCTATCAACACGGGAACATCCCCAGCTTCGCTCCCCGCACCAAGAGCTCCAAAGGGACATCTGTCCTGGTTGCACAGACATCCTGCAGATGCAGGAGTGAGGCAGGAAGACCAAGAAAAGGCAACGCTGAGGTGGCCTGTGGATACAGCATCTGGTGCTGCCTTTGACCAACCAGGGCTCAGCGGTTGGAGATGCCCTGCATCCAAGCCCCAGGGAGTTCATGCACTGGGCAGGGCTGGCAGGGGGTGGGCGCAGTGCAAGTAACAGACAGAGGAACAGGGCAGCTGCACTGAGTCTCCTAGGCACCTGACTGGCTCACCTCGTCACGTCCGGGGCAGAGGTCGGGTGGACATGCTTCATGATGGTCTGGATCCAGTTCCTCCGGATTCCAGATGTCATGGCAGAGAGGGTGAAGGCGCCCTCCTTCGTCTGCACAGAAGATGAGGCGTTAGCCATGAGTGTCCCTCACCGACCCTGAAGGGCTTGCAGGAAGGACTCACCCCCAGGATGCCCCTCCCAGAGGAGCTGCTCTTGATGGGAGAGGCTGAGGGAGGGGGGTCTCAGCACGAAGCCCAGAGAGCGGGAACTTGGCACCACCCCCAGCACCGTCCGCAGAGGTGGCTAGGGGTCTAGCTCACTGAGTATGCCTCTCCCTCCTGCAGGACAGGGGTACAGGGAATCATCGGAGCCCCCAAGTCACAGCTGGAGTGCCGTGCCAGGTGCCCTCCAGCCCCATGGACTGGGGAATGGATTTCTCCTTCTAATGAATTCACTGACCCTCAGGTCTGAGCTCGGTCTCCTCTGAGTTTGGTTAACCTTGGTCACTGCCATGTGCTGAATCTAAGCCCAAAGGTCAGGAGGGGAGTCCCAGCCCGGGAGCCCAGGGTGGGTGGCAGCTGGCAGGCAGGTGGCAGCTGGCAGGCAGCTGGCAGGCTGCTGGGTGCCCATTGCACACCTCAGGCTCTCAGGAGGGAAGAATTAGCTTTTCCCAAAGACAGGTCTGGGCTTCCCTCAAGGTTTAGTCAGTAAAGACTCCACCTGCAATTCAGGAAACCTAGTGACTAAACACAGCACAGTACACAAAGACAGGTCTGGCCTTTGCCCTTCACCACTGTGGTGCAGAGTGGGGGCTAGCCAGGCCAGAAGGACCAGGCATGTGGTAGGGAGATGCTCTGGCTGTGTAATGTCAGCTGGCCTCTGGGGGAAGGGCTGGAGCTTGCCTTACCACATGGACAATGATCCAGTTGATGAGTTATAAAGCTGCTATGAACACTCTGGACACACTTGGGCCTGGTGCCAGGCCTAAGCCCGAGCAAGCTCCCCAGGCTGGAAGTTCTGTGTGTTATCAAATGTCAACGCCAGGGAGACTGTCCCCAAGAATGTGAAAGCTTCCTGTTCAGTGCAGTTCTCCACGAGGTGCTTCCTCGGGCTGATCCCAGTCTGTACCCTTTGCTAGAGTGTGTCCGCAGTTCTAAGAAGAGTGTTCCCTGTGCTCTGAGTCCTCCCGGCTAGTTATTGGACATGTGGGGGGTCCAGGGCACCCTCAGACTTGCAGTGGGCATCAGCCAGCTGGCATAGCCAGGGGTCTGTGCCCTCACCTCATCTGGCTACCCCTAAATAGTCCTTGAACCCCCATCTCTGATGAAGTGGCCAGTGAAAACTGTTCCATCTGCCTAGTCAAATTTTTTTGAGAATGGGACAGCACCTTGCACACTGGAATCCTTCACAAGATTGTGGGGCAGAAAGACTCCGGTGAGCGGCTACATCGATGAGCTAAGAGTAAGTGCATGAGAAGCTAGTGCCCTGAAAGCTGAAGAAGCAACACCTTCACTCTTACTCCCCATACCCCACCTCTTTCCAGCCGTCCCTGTTCTACTGAAAGAAAGACCCTATTACTACAAAGGCTCTGGACAGCCTCGAGGGGGAGATGCTGACGTCTGCTTTCTGCTGAGATCACAGAGTGGGGATGGGGTGAGGAGCTACAGGACAGAGAAAAGGAGAGGATGAAGTGCCCACCCGTCAGGCCCACGGCCCTCCCCTCACACCCCGCCTGCCGCCCAGCCCCACCCCGCTCACATGAATCTGGAAGCCATAGTTTCTCTGCACTGGGTACTCTGTGACATCACAGCACGTAGACAAGTCGATTTCCCCATCCAAGTCGGCTGCCTGCAGAGAAGGTGAGAGATTTAGAAGGTAAAGGCCAGTGTCCCGTGAGCTTTTTGGCTACTAGACAGGTGTTTTCGCAGGTGCTGCCGACCACACACCACCTAGAAGCATCCATGCCACCCCCACCCCCATCCTGCCAGGGACATCCAGGCCGGGGTTCTCAGACCTCCTTTAAACTCTTAAAAACTGACGGCCCCAAAGAGCTTTTGTTCATGGAGGTTTTATCTATTGATGTTTGCCATATCAGAAACTGAAAAAAAATGAAAAATAAAAATTTTTACTTATTTAAGAGCACAAACCCATTTCATAAATAAAAAGTATTATTTTAAAAAACCAGCAGGACTTCCCTGGCAGTCCAGTGGTTAAAACTTTGCCTTTCAATGCAGGAGGTGTTTGTTCAATCCTTGGCTGCAGAGCTAAGATCCTACATGCTTTGTGGTCAAAACCAAAACATGAAACAAAAGCAATATTGTAACAAATCCAGTCAAGACTTTAAAAATGGTCCACATCAAGATTTCTTAAAAAGCTGGAAATAGAACTGCCATATGACCCAGCAATCCCACTTCTGGGCATACACACCGAGGAAACCAGATCTGAAAGAGACACGTGCACCCCAATGTTCATCGCAGCACTGTTTATAATAGCCAGGACATGGAAGCAACCTAGATGCCCATCAGCAGACGAATGGATGAGGAAGCTGTGGTACATATACACCATGGAATATTACTCAGCCATTAAAAAGAATTCATTTGAATCAGTTCTAATGAGATGGATGAAACTGGAGCCCATTATACAGAGCGAAGTAAGCCAGAAAGATAAAGACCATTACAGTATACTAACACATATATATGGAATTTAGAAAGATGGTAACGATAACCCTATATGCAAAACAGAAAAAGACTCAGATGTATAGAACAGACTTGTGGACTCTGGGAGAAGGCGAGGGTGGGATGTTTCAAGAGAACAGCATCGAAACATGTTTATTATCTAGGGTGAAACAGATCACCAGCCCAGGTTGGGTGCATGAGACAAGTGCTTGGGCCTGGTGCACTGGGAAGACCCAGAGGGATCGGGTGGAGAGGGAGGTAGGAGGGGGGACCGGGATGGGGAATACATGTAAATCCATGGCTAATTCATTTCAATGTATGACAAAAACCACTGCAATGATGTAAAGTAATTAGCCTCCAACTAATAAAAATAAATGGAAAAAAAAAAAAAGCAAGCCAAAAAAAAAAAAAATGGTCCACATCAAAAAAAACTTTGGGAAAAAAATAGCAGGAGATTTTTGCACCTGCCTTTAATGCCTAACTTCCGAGGATACCTGGATTCTCACATGGGTCTCTGAATTCAGTCTGCTGGTAGCTTTTGGCTGAAGTGTATGAGGAGGGCCTGGCCTCACACAGACTCAGGCTGAAAAAGGGAGGTGAATTTTAAGTCTTTTCAGACAGCTGTGGTTGTTCTTCTTTGACAAGTGGTAGTTTCTTAAAGGTGAACTACATAGTGGAATCTTTCTATTCTTGCTATTATGTTAAAACCCACGGTTCTGCCCTGCTCCGTGAATGGACCTCTGACCCACGCGTGACCTGGTAACACCACGTCCTGTCTCCTGGGAGAGTCCCCAGACACTGATGTTTCCTTGTTCCAGAGCAAACGCTGTGTGTGCTGTCATCACTACCTATTTCATCAGGAAAGTCTAGGCTCAGGGATGCTGTCAGGTGAGCGATGATGAATACAAGTTTCTCAAAGTTCCAGTTTTTCTTAAAAGTTCAAATTGAATCACTGATAACAGTTCTGTCAGTTGTTTTCCTTGAAGGAAGAGACTCGGTTCATTTAATCGAGTGAGCATCTGTGTGCTGGTGTTTAAGCAGAGATGATGGGCCACGAGGAGGGGGGTGGCAGAGGGCAGCGTGGTTGCAGCTGGTGCTCCCCATGAGGTGGCATCACGCCTGGACAACCAGCACAAGAGACTTTGCCAGCTTCCGGCGGGTGTTGAAGGCTGAGACTAATAAATCAGCACCTCTCCTGTCCTGTGAAGGCCCTTTCTGTACGGCTGTAAATGTGTGGCAGTGAAGGACACACTGGCTATCTGCTCCTGCAGCCTGGTTGGCTAAGGCATAAGGTCAGCACATGGGACGAGGTCAATGACACTGTAGTCTTACAGCACTATTTTTGTTATAAAACCCTGGGTGGGTCTCCAGGGGTCCATAAAGTACACTGTGAGAACAACCCAGCACTTGTGTGTGTTCCTGTGACCCCAGCACCCATGCTACTCCCCATCTGCCTGCCCACCAGCCTCTGTCGCCTGCACTTACAGAGGCACAAGAACCATTAACATCGTTCACATTCCTCCAAAGGAGAATCCTGGAGTGGGAAGCAAGGGAAAAGGTGCAGGAACAGAATGCCAAACTCAGAAGAGAAAGTTTTTTTGTAGGTGAAGAAAAAGCCCTTCTGTTTGGTGTTCAACCATGGAACCAGGGCTCACAACCAGGCTGCCAAGTTCACCTGCCACATCCATCCTTGTCCAGAAAACAAGGGATAAGATATATTAGTTTGGTTCTTTGCAAGACAGTTTACCACAATATTTCTGTGTTCAGTTCAGTCTCTCAGTTGTGTCTCTTTGCAACCCCATGAACCGTAGCACGCCAGGCCTCCCTGTCCATCACCAACTCTCAGAGTCCACCCAAACCCACGTCCATCAAGTCAGTGATGCCATCCAACCATCTCATCCTCTGTTGTCCCCTTCTCCTCCTGCCCTTAATCTTTCCCAGCATCAGGGTCTTTTCAGATGAGTCAGCTCTTCGCATCAGGTGGCGAAAGTATTGGAGTTTCAGCTTCAACACCAGTCCTTCCAATGAACACCCAGGACTGATCTCCTTTAGGATGGACTGGTTGGATCTCCTTGCTGTCCAAGGGACTCTCAAGAGTCTTCTCCAACACCACAGTTCAAAAGCATCAATTCTTCTGTGCTCAGCTTTCTTTAGAGTCCAACTCTCACATCCATACATGACCACTGGAAAAACCACAGCCTTGACTAGACGAACCTTTGTTGACAAAGTAATCTCTCTGCTTTTTAATATGCTGTCTAGGTTGGTCATAACTTTCCTTCCAAGGAGTAAGCGTCTTTTAATTTCATGGCTGCAGTCACCATCTGCAGTGATTCTGGAGCCCAGAAAAATAAAGTCAGCCACTGTTTCTCCATCTATTTGCCATGAAGTGATGGGACCAGATGCCATGATCTTAGTTTTCTGAATGTTGAGCTTTAAGCCAACTTTTTCACTCTCCTTTTTCACTTTCATCATAGAAAGAACAAAACTGTTTGTCCTGAGTTTTAAAATGAGACATCTTTCAGTGTTTTTCAAAGAACACAGACAAGAAAAGCTGCTAAAGCCCCCCATCCCAGGTGCTGAAGCAGGGCCTGGAGAGCCTACTTCCAGCAGAAACCAGTCCCAGAACATTAGACTCTGCCCCAGGGCTGGACTGGGCCACCCATCAGCACACAGCGTGGACCTGAGGCACTTACCTCCTCAGCCACAGAGTCCCTGTAGAACCTCAGGCTTTGATCAGCAAGGACAAACCAGTGCTTCTTCCACTAAAAAAGAAGGAGTAAAGTCAAGACTGAACTCCACACTCCTGCTCCGAGGCACTCCACAGCCAGGGTCCTGGGGGAACACAGACAGTGGGCAGCCCCTCTGGCTGGGACACACATACGGGAGTCTGCTCAGGCCACAGGCAGCCACATGCACATGCCTTCTCCCTGGTGACAAGGCGGTGTGGGCACTCCACCCGCAGGGGTGCCAGGCAGAGGGAAGCCAGGCCCCCCAAGCTCAAGGAGGCAGCCTGTGAGTTGCGGCCACCTGCTGTCTAGCCAGAGGGGCGCCCACCTGCTGCCAGCAGGGGTGACCCAATCACAACCAGCCAGACTTCCCAGTCTTCAGTGTGAGGAACAACAGGGGTGCTGAGTCTGCAGGCAGAGCCGAAGGGGTGGATACGGAGGGGAGAGAGAGAGAAGGAGGGAGGGGAGGGGGGTCCAGGGGTCTCGCAGAGGGACCCAAGGCTCCTCCTGCCTCCCGGGAGGCCTGGTCGCCACCCCAGCAGCCACTAGTGGCTTGCTCTTTCTGCTCAAGCCTGCCAGCTCCTCCCAGGCCTGTGGAGGCATCTCAGCTGCTGCCCACCACCTCACAATCAGGGAGCCTGTTCTTGGGGAACCTGGGCTCTCCGGAAACCTCTGGAGAATGTGGCCAGGTGGGAAGCTCATGTTGAAGGGCATCCTCAGGCCTGAGGCTGATGCTCACCAGGAGCGGGAGAGCAGTCCACATGCTGGCAGCAGGCAGGCTGCCCACCACACCCCCACTTCTGAGGAGACGGGGTCGTGGTCACAGTCCTGGAGGTGGTGGACAAGGGCCAGTGCTCACACACCCACGGGGACAAGGCCAGCTGACCTTGCACCTGCTCCCTGGCGCCTGGGGCCACGGCAGTTCCAGCCACTCACCTGGCCATCCTCATACTGCTTGGTCAGCCAGCCTTTTTTGAAATTCAGCAGGTCGGGCTAAAAGAGAGGAATGAAGAACAGCTCAGAGAAAAGCAGCCTGGTGTCTGGTTCTGTGCAGAGCAGACTGACGAGACAGGCATTTCTCTCCCCATGAGGGGCCCTAGGGAAGGGGCTTTTCCACGTGCCGGATGAGCACATGTGGCTCCTTGCCCTGGCAGGGGCTGCCCAAGCCACTCTCGGGGTGTGCATCTCCAAGGAAGGCAAGGTTGCGTACAGGGCGCAGGTGCGGCCCCCTCGGCCCATGAGCAGCACAACAGGGCCGCCAGGAAGCAGAGAACAATCCAGACAGAGCCACCCGGCATCTCGCGTGGAGGGAAGATGAGCAGTGATGGCTGAGACCAAGAGTCTCATAAAAGCCACGGGAAGACTGATGGCACCTGGTGTGAGCACGACGCAGCAGTGAGCTGCCAGGACCCTCCAGCCACTGGCCTGCCAGGATGACCCTGAGCCCCCGCTTCCATACAAGCAGAGAGCCAGGGCAGCAGGTGCTGACAGCACCTGAGAGCACCCGGAGGGCCCTCGCAGCCCTGGGCCTGGCTGGTGTCTCATGTGTGGGCATAGGCAAGGCCAGGTGAACAGAGACGCAGCACTGCAATGTCCAAGGACCCAAGGAGAGTTAAGAGAACATGTGCCCCAGGGCGGGACACCCATCAGCCATGGGTGCCCTGGAGCCTCTGCTGCAAAGTCTAGACTCTAGGTGAGAGTGCGTGTGCTCTGGCCCAGCTCGGGAGCCGCTGGGGGCCCCACGCCTGGAGGGGTGGGACCAGCCCTGGTTCCTCAGGAGGCCGAGGGCAAAGGCAAGAGGAACCCATGTGAGCTGCTGTCTTCACTCCTGGGGCTCTGACTTGCCTTTCAGGGCTCCCAAGGGGGCGGTGGTCCTATTAGACCTGCCTGACCACTCCCTACCTCCACCCAATGGCCACAGCTCCCATGCCCTGGAGCGAAGGTCAGGCTCCCTCCACGGTAACCCCATGAACAAGAGACATGCCCAGCGGGAAGGGGGCTCCTGCCTCCAAGACGTCACAGAGACAAACACTCAACACGAGAAGAACAGAGGTTCGTGCTGTGGCCCCATCCCCCAGAGCCAAAATTCTGCGGTCCTGGCGGCCTCCTCTGACGGAGATCTCAGAGCTCAGGATGCCCACGTAGCCCAGAGAAGGGGCAGAAACACAGCATCTGCTTCTCACACAGACACGATGGCCCGTGCACAGGGGGCAGCCAGCACAGACACCAGCAGACAGAGCCCCGTGACAAGCAGCAGGGGCGATGTCTCCAGGCCTCAGAGCACAGGCGCCCGGGCTCACCGTCAGGGAGGACTCCGTGGACCTCCTGTCCAGTGACTTGGCTCTTCGGTGTGGAGACAGGGGGGAGGCCGAGGCGTCTGGGAGAGGAGCTTCGCTGGGGAGGTCCTGTGGCAGAGAGCAGTCCCGTCAGCACCAGCCAGTCCCTCATCCGCTAGAGCCGCAGGAGGGCGGGCTTCAGGGACGTGTTGCGGGCAAGAAGCGGGGCTCTGCTGTCTGGTGCCTTGGCACCTCTGCCCCTGGGGACAGGACCTGCGTGGAGATAGGACCCACGCCCAGACTCCTGGTCCTGAGCCTCCCACTGCCTGCTGGGGCTTGAGCCGCTCTGGTGGACAGGGCAGCCTTTTCTTGCAGATGTACCAGCCACTCGGCTCTCCTGGTTCCCACTCTCCCTGGGCCTCAGAGGTTCACAGAAGGAAGAAGCTGGGCTCTGTGCAGCAAGTAGGAGAGCCCAGAGAGAACGGGAGGAAGACAGAGGGTGGATTTGGCGGGACCCCAAGAAGTAGGGGCTCTGGAGAGGAGTTTCAGAAGTGGAATCCACCTTGGAGATTCAGCAGAGAGAAACGAGGGCTGTGGCCATGGCCAGAAAAGACAAGAAGGAAGGAGACCAGACGGCCTTAGAGAGGAAGAGAGTGGCTCTAGTTAGGACCTGGGACCCAAGGTGCATGAGAGCAGCTCTGAGCAGAGATGGATGGAATTCTGAGAGGAAAATGCAGAAGATGGGCCTCACCCTTAAGAAGTTCACTCAGGGAAGAAGGTGAGAGACACAAGAAACGACCAGGAAACAAGAGCAGGAAGCTGGGCAGAAGTGCACCCACATGTGAGTAGGCTGTATGGGGGGCAATATGCTGCCGTCCCCATCATCTGCTCTGCCCCATTATTGCCCAGAGCCCGGACGCTCACCCGCTTCCTAGGAAACGCCCTCTTCTCGCTGCGGCCTTGTCGAGTGTCACTTGAGGCTGAGGGCCCGGCGGACATGTTGGTCTCCATGTGCTCTGCCTTCTCTGTGTCCAGGGCCTCAAACTTCTCTATTACCTGGGACCTCCTGCAAGAGAGGGCACGAGGCCACTGAGGGGGGAGACAGGGTCCCCGGAGCCTGAAGGGACATGGTCCGGAGTCTGAGGGGCTCCTGCAGCCAGCACCCCACGCCGGCTCACCCCAGTTCCTGGGCCACCCTCGTGTGGGGTGCTGGCCACACACACCCCTCGTTCGGCCAGCTCACCTAATGCCCTCACTTCCTCTCCCACCTCCACACGGAGCAGCTCTTGGGACACAGCCCTGCCCTCTGCCTCCCAGCCCCACACCGCAGACGCCGCACGGGCTGCCGTACTGACACACTTGGCCCTCACACGCCAGCGCCCCCTCCGGAGCCACAGACTGGTGGAAGGCAGCCAGCACCTTGGGCGCCCCGGCCTCACCACGTGCCTCAGCAGATCGGATGCAGCCCCCACCCCAGGGCGTCCAAAATTTAGCAAGAAAAAGACCCATGAATTAACATTGTTTCTGCCAACAGTAAAAAGAATCAAAATCCAAATTAAAAACAAAGCAAGTTGATTTCGTGTGAAAGGGCGGGCGGCATCATCAGGCCATCTACGGCTGGAGACGGAGCTGAGATGGGAGCGAAGCAGGCGGAGGAGGGGCGAGTAACGTCACAGCGACACAGCAGGAGGAGTGGAGAGGGGCAAGACCTGGAAGAAAACAAGGCTGGAGAATGAATAAACAGAAAGAACTGCTGGTAAAAATCAAATATGGTAAATCAAAATCATCCCAAGAATTAAAGCAAAAACCCAAGGCAATCACTGAGGAGGGAGACTGTCCTGTCCCCGCGTCATGAACATCCGCCTGGTGGATGCACCCTCGTGAGCTGCCCACATGTCCCCAGGCCAGAGGCCTGTTCCCCCTGAGACGTCTCACAGGGAGGTGGCTGTCCTTGCACTGCACTAGCAGCAGAGTCAAGGGCAGCAAGTGAAGGGCCACTGGGCCCAGTAGCCTGAAGCCTAACTTCATGAGGAAGGGGAGGGGAACCCGGAGGCCAGCTCATCCTTGGGAAGGGACCAGCAGAAGGGGCTCTCGGGGGTCCTTCCTCAGGAAGGCGGAACTCCCTGGGACCAGCTCCCTGTGGGGCCATCTCTGCTCCCGTGGAGTCTCCTGCAGGCCAGCAGCAGCTGCAGCGGGGGAGCGAGCGAGCGAGCGAGCGCAGGAAGCCAGGCGGCGTGGGAGCGCCTGGGAACCACGGGAACTCTCGCCGGTGCTTTGGCTGGCTGCGCACCGAGGTGCCTGTCCCAAGTGTCCTGCTAGGTTTAGAGGACAGACCCGCTCACATGTAGAACGAGAGCTCTTTCAACCGACCTCAGGACCAGAAAGCCCCACGATGGCCTCGAGGTGCAGGGGCCAGTGAGTCAGGCCAGTTGCATGCTGCGGGCTGGGCCGGGCACGAGAGGTCAGAAGAGGGAAGAAGTGCCGCCTGCCAGGGGTCTGGGGGAGTCCGCCTCAGGTGACTGTAAAGTGGGGCCTTTTCAGCTCAGGTCCCTGCAGTCCTACAGCTGGGACAGCAAAGGCATCCCGGTGAGCCTGGTCCGGACTCCCAGCCAAGGGGCAGGCGGGACCTTGGCAGCTGGGCCTGGTGTCAGTCACTAGCGGTTCAACCAGCCATCCCTCCACACTTGCTCGGCACAGCTCACCATTTGAGAAACACTGGGGAGGCTCTGGGGCCAGTCCAAAGACTACTTCAGGGGCAGGACTGGTCAGGACACCCACCCTGAGGCCTCTCAGTCAGGCTTCCGGCAGCCGCCCCCTGGGTATGGTGGCTGGTGTCCTGCCCATCTGGGGCTCTGTTCTGCACCACAATACAGGGATCCGGTCTAGCACCAGGAGTGGCTCAGGACCAGAGAGCAGGCCTCAGACAGGACAGCAGCCAGTCAGAGGACACGAGGGCAGTGAGAAGTGATGTGACAGTGTTAGGATGCAGAGGAGAGGGCCCCAGGGGAGCCGCACCAGGCAAAAGCCCCTCCCCATGGTGGCAGAGCAGGCGAAGCAAAGCCCCAGAGGTGCCATCTGTCCCGGCCATAGCCAGGAGGGAACTCCAAGCCAAGCAGGTGTGCTGAATGTTAATTCTTTGGTCCCCGCCAAACCAAGGTGTGGCTGCCTGCTTGGGGGCCTCCAGGACGCAGTGAGAAGCCCCCTTGCCCAGGCCACTGGCCTCCTACATCTAGCCAGTTCCATCACTTACACTCAAGCGCACTAAGGACAGCCTCGGCCTGCCCCAGCTCTGCTGCCCCAGGCTGTTCCCGTGAGGAGGGGCTCTGCCCCTGCATCCCGTTTTTGCCCTGCGTATGGAGTGCTCACACACCTCAAGGGGTTCCTAGTAAGCCGGGCAGAGATGCTGTTCGGAGGGCGTGTCCCCCACCCCTCCAGGAATGAGGCATCTTGTTTGTGTCTCTCTTCAACTGTGTCTTCCAAGTGTTGGAGGGGATGCCTGGGAGGGCAGGGGGGTGGGAAGGAGCAGGGGAGCAAAGCAACCTGGGCTCTGCAAAGGGTCATCCAATGTCCCCACTCGCTCTAATTCTAAGCTGGGTGGGGCCAGAGGACACTACACTAACAGTGGGTCTGAATCTCCTCCTTAGAAAGCAGCTCTTTGTAAATGAATGAAAACCTCAAAAAATTTTCTCTTCCCGGAGCATGTTACAGGCTCTGGAATCATTTTGGGAGGTCTGAAACCCTGCATGGCCCACTGCACGCCAGGGTGCGAGCCCTGCTGCTGGACAGAGGCTCTGTTTACACGCGGGGCTGGAAGCTTCTACTGGAAGGGGTACTGGGGCACTCTGGTCCAGACCTGGACTTGGGAGGCTTCAGAGACAGAACCACGCTCTTTCCTCGCTCTCCACAAGTGCAGGGCCCTCCCCGCCTCAGACCACAGCTCCACCTGGCCTTGGCCCATCTCCAAATCCATGACAGAATGTCACAAAATGTACAAGTGTGTGAGTGCACATGTGGGTACCTGTCTAAGAGAACATGTTGAGTGTGCACAGTAGGGGCTGCAGGAGTGGGCAAAGTGTGTGCAAGTCCCTGGCCCTCTAGTCCCCCCAGCCCTTACCTCCGCTCGTTGCCAAACAGACGGGCCACCTCTTCCCTGCCAGGGCTCCGGGCCCGAGTCCTGCGCTCCAGCCGCCTTCTCTCCACCTGGAAGGCTTCTCGGTGGCTGATCCTGATGGCCTTAGGGACGTCGGCCAGGGTGGCATACTGCCTGCTGGCTTTAAAGGCATAGGCACGCCCCAGTCTCTCTGCTCCCCACCCCCCAGCACTGCCGGAGTCCACGTGGGCAGGGGGATGGCTGGCCACATCCAAGGAGTTCAAGGAGCTGCTGCAGACGGTTCGGGCAGGGGGCTGAGGACCTGGGGGAGGAAGGGGATGGCCAGGCTCGCAGGAGGGTGGGCTGGAGTCGCTGTACCTGTTGGTGGGGGCACCCGGGCTGGGCGGGGAGAGCGGTGGGGGCAGCTGCTGCTCCTCGGCCTTAACGTCCTGCTTGGTCTTCTCCAGGGAGAAGTAGCCGCTCTCCACCCGGACTTTGCGGCCACAGTCCACGCGGTCACCACTTGTGGTGCTCTCCTCTGGAAGACGAGGGGCAAGAGAGATGCACGGCCTGCTGCCACCTCTGGTTCTATAAACTTTGGAGATGGCGCGCAAGTCCAAGGCCACCCCAGGGCAGAACGCTTTCCCAGGAAAGGAATGGGGCATCCTTACCTGCCTCTCCCTAACAGGTGCCTCTCTACCAGACGGCCAGGGGTCCCTGAGCTCTAGTCTGGGGGCTCGGCTGGGACAGCAGGATCCCCAAGAAGGGACATCCCACCAACAACCACTTCCCACTGAACACCAGGGAGGACCCAGGGAATGTGGTTAACACTGCACACTGCACTGCAGGGGGCATGGTTCAATTCCCTGGCTGGGGAACTGAGATCCCCAGTACCACACAGTCAAGCTGGGAACTGAGTACATCCTGAGCGGCCGTGCAGCCTCTCAGGGTGTTGTTAAGGGCAGGGAGGCGCACCTGGGAGGAGCAAGGAAGGGCAAGTCCTGGCTGTGGTGGGCACCCACAGCAGGGGAGTACCGAGCGGCCTTTTGCCCAGAGCCTGAACAAGTGCATCTTGCCTGAGTGAGCACAGTCTCAGGTGCCCATGTGTCTTTAGTGGACAGATGGAAACGGGGAAGCCGGCCTGTCATGCAGAGCCCTCTAGGCCTGGACAACGGAGGCCATGTGCCGCCCCGCTCTGACAGACAACTACAAGTCCTGGAAGGAGACGTGCGGTCGTGCCAGCTGTTCCCCTGCTTCAGCCAGCACCTGGGCAGGGTGCAACAGTGGGAGAAGGACTGGACAGCCCTTGCTGCTGCTCGCAGGACACAGTGGGCTTCAGATAACCAGGCCTTGAACACAGAGCAGCCACAGGGAGCAGAGGCTCCTTTGGACACAGAGCATCCCGATTCTCATGATACCAGGCTGGGGCTCAGGAGCAACTGAAGGCTGGAGGGCCGGCAGACACTCAAGGGCACCCGAGCCCCAGCACCAGCTTGCCCTGTCGGGAGGCCCATCCTAATGCTGGGAAGTGGGGCACCAAGACATGCAGGCACGGTGGCCACCCTGGCTATCACTTACCATCTCTGCCCTCAAGCCCTGGCTCCCTCAGGGTGCTTGACACAGGAGGCTGGCCCTGGCTGGGACTCTGAGCTGGACTCGGGCTGCTCCCATCTGGCTGGTCCTTGGCCCTCATTTCTTCCTGCCAGAGTGTGGACTTGGTGGTGGGGACTTTCTCAGCACTGGGGATGCTGCTGCTGCTGCTGGTGACAGCCATCTTGGCCGGCCCTGGCTCCTGCAGGGGAGAGTGGTGTCCATGCAAGCCTGGGAGCACCCTGCCCAAGCCAGCACACGGGTCTGGGCTGCCCGAGTACCTGGCTACCAAGGTCAGCTGCAGTGTCAGAGGCCCAGATGCCAGAAAGCAAGGTTCAGCACAGAGACGTCCCAGCTGGGCTGGAAGCCTTCCCTCTTCTGCAGCCCCAGCCAGCACCCAAAGCCTCTGGGCACGCAGAACAGGAGCCTGGAGCCCAGGTGGGATCCCAAGCTGGAGCTGGTGCTGCCCCAAGGGACAGCATTTGTGTACAAGGTACTTAGCCAGAGCATACAGAGAACTGTAACTCCACACTGTAAGCCTGTGGCACCTGCTCATGTCCGAGGCCCAAGCCCCTGCCCACCCAGGCACTGGGATGCCTGCTCCTGACCTACTACCAGCAGGATGGCTCTGGGCACCCCCCAAAGTGAGGCACATCTTGGCAGTCCTTCCCAAAAACAGACTGCCTGCTGGGCTCTGACTAGCACCACACCTTTCCAATCCTCACCAGCCACCCCAAAAGCTCCTACAAGGAGAGCTCACCTCAGCTGAGAGGAGATGGCAACCCATGCTCACATGGCCAATAAGCGGCAGAGTGAGGCTCTGAGCATTTGGCACCCCCAGGGGCCCCTAGGAGAGGAGAAGGGCCCGGGACGGGGGCTGCCTGTTGGGTGGGCACCTGTGTCCACAGTGAGGCCGCCAGCACTTTGCCTAGTTCAGAGCTTCCTCAGTTCCACAAGGGTCTCAGGCCTCCTGGGACAGATGAAGCCGGGATGGCTCTCCCGCAGACCCGGGAACTCCTACCACCCCTTCCGTCACAGTCATCAGTAGCCCTGCCTCCCTGGCTGGTGACTCCTGAGCGCTTTGAGCCACCGTGGAAGAGGTAGAGTCCTGGAAGAACGCGGCTTCTGACAGTTCCCCAAGGCTCCAACAGAACCAACTCCAACGACCCCAGGTCACCAGCCCTGCGGCCCCAAGCCTGTGGTCAGCGGCGTCCTGGCTCCACATCCAGCAGCCATGCTGCCCTGAGCAAAGGTCTCTCTGGGTGCCCTGCTGTGCCCCCACAATAACCTGGGGCCCACACTCTGAGGCCGGGCATGGCTCTGCGGGGCTCAGGGTGGAGCCGTGTGAGCATTACCTGGAGAACGTGCTTGGTGAGTCTATCCCCTCCGTGGAGGGGGGCTGGACCAAGGGACACAGAGGCTGCCAACATGGGCTGTGGAGGAAGGGCAGCACTGTGCCCATGAGAGTAGGGCCCTGACACATGCACGCATTCCTGATGCTGGGGTGAACCCAGCATTGGGCAGGGTGCTGGTGAGGATCTCCAAGAGGAAATTCCAGGCTTGAGATGTGAGGGTCAGTGACAGGGCTTCCTAGAACCAGGCGGTGCCAGGCCTGCCTCCCGGACCCCTGACCTTCTTAGGACTCAGCCTAGAGGAAAAGGGCCCTGGAGGCACCAAGGTCCATGGTGAGTCTCCTGTGGTAGCTGTGCTGTTCCCTGCCTGTGTGCCCAGCCTCACCCAGTCAGCAGGGGCAGAGGAGCGGGGCAGGAGCTGGTTTCTGGGTAGTCACTTCTCTCCTCCAGAACACATGGGTAGAAAGGAGACGTGGAAGGGGCGGGGCCAGGGCCACACGGCACCACGCCCATTCCCCACACTGTCACCACTGTGGTGGGGGATGCTGGGACTCACACCAACAGAGCCCTGGTGCCCGTGAGAGGCAGGGGAAAGGCCCGGGGCCCCAAGGTGTCCTCTCTGTGTGGCCAGAACTGCTGCAGGCCCAGGGCTGTCAGTACAATAAAGAAGTTAGCTGAGAGGAAAGAGAAAATGGGACAGGAAGGGAGGCCCAGTCAAGGGGCTTCTGCAGCCTCCACATGCTAAACAGGCCCCTCGTGAGCAGGTTTCCCACAGAAAGCCACCTTTTCTACCCCTGGGGCATGGGACCTGAGCAGAGGGCCAGTAAGGAGGGTTCTGACCCAGAGTGGGCATGGCAGCAGGTCCCAACGGGTAAAAAAGATGCCTGAGAAGAGGTGGCAGCTCACAGCAAATGTGTGGGCCTGAGGTGGGTCAGACCAGGGCCTGACTGGAGCCTCAATCATGGCAGAGGCCTGGTGTTTTACACATCCCTGAAAAAGACTGAGAAGCAGGGACCAAGAGCCCAAGTGAGTGAGCAGACGGAGGAGCCAGCCTCTCATAGCTCCGCCCAAGGATGTGTGCCCCTAGCCTGCACACCGGGCTGGGTGAACACGCAGTCCCTGGCCTTGCCCAAGTCCCAGCTCTGGGGTCTAGGGAGATGGAGAAGGGAACCCCTGGTCACACCCTGAGTGGATGACCACTCCTCTCTAGGCATCTGGGTACCAGGACACCCTTCCTCAAATAGCCAGAACAGGAAGAGGTTCCTGGGAGCCCATGCCTGTCAGGCTCCAGCTCTACAGGTCTGGGCCAGCTTGTCTCCCCCCTGCCCTGGGCTCTGCTGCAACCCAGCCCCCGGCCAAGGGGGTGTCTGCTCTCCCCCACAGCTCCATTCTCGACCTCCCTCTGGCCTGAGGAGTGCCTGCACACTCCATGGCCCCAACTCCCAGATACCTGAACGCCCTCCTTGAAGCAGGACCCTGGGCCCCCTGCCTGCCTCAGTTCCTAGAGGGCAGGGTACAGCAAAAGGACTTCCCCAGCCCCCTGTTAGTCCGACCCAAAACTCTGGGGCCATGAGAAAAAGGCTAGGTTTGGGGTCTTGGGTTCTTCTCTGTATAGGGGCCCCTAAGGCAATCTCAGGTTGCTGAGGGGGCTGGCCCAGAGATCCCCAGCTCTCCTCTGGAAAGGCCACAGCCCTCCTGAAGACTGACTCACGGGGACGGTCCCTGATGAAAACTCACGGATGCCAAAAACCCGCAGCCTCCAGCACGATGCTCAGGGAGCCAGAGGCTGAGCAGAGGAGGCTGGGGTCCTCCATGCCCCAGGGGCCAAGATAACCTCTGGCAAGTGGGTGATGTCCCCACTCAGAGTATGAAGTAACACTGAGGGGAGAGGGTGTTCATGGGGCTAGGGACAGCGGAGAAGACCCCCTAGTCTGGCTGGAGTGTCTCCTGCTGTGCAGCTGCCCAATTAAGAGGCAGGAGTTCTGCCCAACCTGCTTCTGAGGCATCGCTGCGGAAACCCATGCAACACTAAACACTGTGATCCCACCTGGGGTTCTCTCAAAGAAGTTTTGGGGGATTTCCTGTGTCTGCTGTTTCCCAGCAGGAAGCTCCACTTTGTGTTTCTGTGAATGACTGTGATTGCATTTTGCCCACTTCCTGCCAGGAACACTACCTTCCAAGAGGGTGTTAGCCTGGGGTCCCCTCAGGGTGGGTGGGCAGAGAGCAGACAAGGATCGTTGGCTGAGAGCAGGCCAGGGAAGTCTGAGGGGCATGCAGGGAGGGGCACCCTGGCCAGGCACACCACCCTGTCCTGCCCAGACTGCCCCTCAGGGAAGCCCAGAGGAGCCAGCAGGGACTGCTGAGCCCAAGGGTTGCCAGGTTCTCCACGGGAATGCTGTCAGGCTCTCGGGCATTTGAGACACCAACAGGCCCCGGGTCTGCATCCTATTCCCTCACAAAGGTGTGGAGGGGCTCAGGCAGGCAAGGCAAGTGCACTGAGTCACAGGGAAATGTGGGGCAGAGGGTGCACATTCATAGTCTATCGACCGTTTGAATGAGTGGGGTTGGGGCGCTGACCCTCCAAGCAGTCAGATATCCAGCACAACTTAGGTTGGCCCACTGTACCCACAGTTCCACATCCATGAATTCAACCAATTGAGGACTGTGCAGTCCTGTGGGATTTACTATTGAAAACAATCCACACAAAGGACTCCCAGAGTGCAAACTTGTGTAGCTCCAGGGTCACTGTACTGAGCACCCAGAAGGGGCCTGGCACTTTTGCCACTGCTCATAGTAATCTGAGAACTTGATTTCATCAGGTCTGTTTCACGAATCAGTCCACTGAGGCCCTGAGCCCTTCTGGTGCCGAGTCCCTGCAGACCAGCCAGGGAGGGAAGCCCTGGACCCGGGGGACTGCCCCAGCCATCTCCCACTCTGGCCTCATGGGAGCTGGTAGGAGGACAGAATCAAGGCTGTGCCAGTGCTTTCCATTTATGGTTCCCCTGAGAGCCCTTCACGGCCAGGCACTGCAGGACCACTCCTCCTGGCCCTCTGCCCAGCCTGCTGTCTGCAGAATTGTCTGTGTGGAAGGTGGAGCTGAACTGAGCCTCTCCTCCCAGCATGCTCTTGGCTCCCAGCAATTGGCAGGATGGTCAGGGGAGGGATGGGCACTGTTCAGTGACGCCTCTGGGGGCAGCCCCACAGCAGGCCACCCTTTCCAAGTGGGGGTCCTGCCCTGAGGCTTGCAGAGGAGTGTGCAGAAGGCAGCCCACAGACTCGGAGAAGGAAGGCGGAGACCCCTGGGCTGAGGGCTACCTCAGCCCTGGCATCACCCCTTCCTTCCCTTGCCCCCAATTCTAGGTTGGGTCCTGAATCCCCCAATCTCCCAGGGTGCTTTTTCTTTGCCCCAGCTCCACCGAGGGGATGCCTCACCTGTGGTGTGGGGGGCTCCACCTTCCGCTTCTTCTTCTGGTTCTGCTTGTTGGTCCTGGGATAGACTGTGAGCATCTCCAGCCATCTGGGAGACAGGAGGGTATGGCACCAGTCAGACCAGAGCTGCCACTCCAGGGCAGGAAGTGCCAGCAGCACAGCTGGGACACGGACAGGCTGACCGCTGGCCTGGTGAAGACTTGGCATTGTTTTTGTTACCAGCCTTCCTCTGGGGCTGAGACTCCACTCTAAAATCGCCCTCCTGGAGTATGGCTGGCCAGCATAGACACGCTGCGACTGGGAAGCCCCGAGGACCACTGGGGCAAGAACCTAGGAGTCATTGCCAAACTTTCCCACAGTGGTCACTTCTGGGCACTGTGCAGCTGACCTCCCACACTCTGGAGGGCTCACCTCTGGGCCCCAGCTGTACAGTGAGGGTGCCCTTGGGGGCACCTCGGGATCATCTTTGGGGAAGGCCTAGCAGAACAGCCCAGGGACCAACGCCAGGGCCCACACTGGAAGGTCTACTCTGGACCAGCAGCAGGGAACGCAGGGAGGGGCATGGACTCAGATCTGGCTCTGCTCCCCTCAAACCAAGACCCAGGCAGCTCCCAGCCCTCAGGACCTTGGCTTCTCATCTCTGGAACCGGGGGGACCCTGCTTGCCTCTCTGGAGCTCTGTGGTAGCTGGGAAGGTCGGAGCAAGGGGAAGGAGAAGGTGTGGTGGGAGGACGTGTGGCGCGGGGGAAGGGTAGTGCTCTCTCCACAGGGGACAGTACTGCAGGGGACGCTGGGCCAACTCTGCCCAGACAAAAGGGTCTGTGTGGGCCTGCGGCCAACCTGTGACAACAGCCTGGCGGCAATGGCTGAACTGCTAAGGGAGGCAGGGTCTGCACTGCCAGCATACTGGCTGAGGCAGCAGTAAAGACCAGCACTCCAGACGCAGGGCAGGCAGAAGGGCTTGTCTTTAGTTCTCAGAGGTGCTCCTTTAATATGTTTGTGTGTGGGGTGCCGCTGGAGCGGCGGTGCTGCTGGCAGCTGGGAGTGGGGTTGCATGTGGAGTGCACCCTTCCAGCAGTGGAGCTGAGGCCCAGTCAGGTGAGAGCGGGGGTTCTCGGCCTGAGAGCGAGGGAGCGAGTGCCTGCATGAGGAGATCTGAGCACAGGCTCCAAGGGCTTACCCATGTACCCTTAGGAGTTCGAATGCTCGTGGGTTAACAGACTTGCTTTCTAGCCTGCCAAAGGGAACAAATTTCCTTTGCAAAGTTCACAATAAGGACCCTGCCTGCAGAGGGCCCCTCTCCAGGATCTACCTGGGAGGGGAAAAGAGACAACTTGTGAAGTCACGTCATCCTCCAGGGCCTGGGAACAGCGCTGCGGCAGGCATGTGCAAAGCAGTCAGGGAGCCCTTAGCCCGTGAACAGTGGTCCTGTCGCTCTTGACTAGTAACACTGCCAAGCTGGGCAAACCTGTGTGCCTCACATGATAGGGCCTTGAGGGGAAAGGAGAGAAGACCTGCACCACCGCCACACAGCTGACTGGACAGAGCTCCTGAAGCCCCTGCCAAGTGCCGGATGGAGGTCCCGTCAGAGGCCAGACCATGCGGTGCTGACCTGGGCCCCAGCTCCCATACTCCTAGTGCCCTGGGACCTCAGACACCCTTCCTGTCCTACGTCACCCAGGCCCCTTCCAACTCGGGGGTGTGTGTCTGTGTGTGTGATGCCTAGATCTCCTTGAAGAGTCTGGTTGGGCAGTGGAACCTCAGCCAAGAGTGTCTGCCAGACAGGCCATGGCAGCAGGTGTGAACCAGGACCCGCGACTGGCTCTGTTGCCCCTTGTGCCTGGGGAGATCAGGTTCCCTTCATCTCTGGCCTTCCGTCTCCAGCTGCAGAACCACTGACCCTGGAGGGGGGAATGGCAAACCACGTCAGCATTCTTGCCATGAGAACCACATGAACAGTATGAAAAGGCAAAAAGATATGACAACGAAAGATGAATTCCCCAGGTCAGAAGGTGCCCAATATGCTTCTGAAGAAGAGGAGAGAAATAGCTCCAGAAGGAATGAAAAGGCTACGCCAAAGCGGAAACAGCACCCAGTTGTGGATGTGTCTGGTGGTGAAAGTAAAGTCTGATGCTGTAAAGAACAATACTGTGTAGGAACCTGGAATGTTAGGTCCATGAATCAAGGTAAATTGGAAGTGGTCAAACAGGAGATGGCAAGAGTGAACACCGACATCTTAGGAATCAGTGAACTAAAATGGACAGCAATGGGCAAATTTACTTCAGATGACCATTATATCTATTACTGTGGGCAAGAATCCCATAGAAGAAAAGGACTAGCCTTCAGAGTCAACAAGAGAATCTGAAATGCAGTATGTTGGTGCAATCTCAAAAATGACAGAATGATCTCGATTCATTTCCAAGGCAAACCATTCAACATCTCATAGTAATCCAAGTATATGCCCCAACCAGTAATGCTGAAGAAGCTGATGTTGAACAGTTATATGAAGACCCAGAAGATCTTCTAGAACTAACACCAAAAAAAGATGTCCTTTTCATCATAGGGGACTGGAATGCAAAAGTATGAAATCAAGAGACACCTGGAGTAAAAGCCAAGTTTGACCTTGGAGTACAAAATGAAGCAGGGCAAAGGCTAACAGCGTTTTGCCAAAAGAACGCACTGGTCATAGCAAACACCTTCTTCCAATAACACACAAGACAACTCTATGCATGGACATCATCAGATGGTCAACATCGAAATCAGACTGATTATATTCTTTGCAGACAAAGATGGAGCTCTATACAGTCAGCAAAAACAAGACTGGGAGCTGACTGTGGCTCAGATCATGAACTCCCTATTGCAAAATGTAGACTTAAATTGAACAAAGTAGGGAAAACCTACAAAGTAGGAAAAACTACACCATACAGGTATGACCTAAATCAAATCCCTTATGATTATACAGTGTAAGTGACAAACAGATTCACGGGATTAGATCGGATAGACAGTGTGTCTGAAGAATTATGGACAGAGATTCGTAACACTGTAGTGATCAAAACCATCTCCAAGAAAAAGAAATGCAAAAAGGGAAAATGGTTCTCTGAGGAGGGCTTAAAAATAGCCAAGAAAAGAAGAGAAGTGAAAGGCAAAGAAGAAAAGGAAAAATATACCTATCTGAATGCAGAGTTCCAAACAATAGCAAGGAGAGAGAAGAAAGCCTTCCTAAGTGAACAATGCAAAGAAATAGAGGAAAACAACAGAACGGGAAAGACTAGAGACTTCTCCAAAAAAATCAGATATCAAGGGAACATTTCATGCAAAGATAAGCACAATAAAGGACAAAAATGGAATGAATCTAACAGAAACAAAAGATATTAAGAAGAGGTGGCAAGAATACACGAAAAGTCAAAGTGTTAGTCGCCTGGTCATGTCCAACTCTTTCAGACTCCATGAATTGTAGCCTGCCAGGCTCCACTGTCCATGGGCTTCTCCAGGCAAGAATACTGGAGGGGGTTGCTGTTCCCTCTTCCAGGGGATCTTCCTGACCCAGGGATTGAATCCACGTCTCTTACGTCTCCTGCACTGGCAAGCATGTTCTTTACCACGGGCACCACCTGGGAAGCCGAGAATACACAGAAGAACTATTACAAAAAAGATCTTAATGACCCAGATAACTGCAGGGTGTGATCACTCACCCAGAGCCAGACATCCTGGAGTGTGAAGTCAAGTGGACCTTACGAAGCATCACTACAAACAAAGCTAGTGGAGGTGATGGAATTGCAGCTGAACTATTTCAAATCCTAAAAGATGATGCAGTGAAAGTGCTGCACTCAATATGCCAACAAATTTGGAAAACTCAGCAGTGGCCACAGGACTGGGAAAAGTCAGTTTTCATCCCAATACCAAAGATAGGCAATGCCAAAGAATGTTCAAACTACTGCACAATTGTACTCATTTCACATGCTAGCAAGGTCATGCTCAAAATTCAAGCTAGGCTTTAACAGTATGTGAACCGAAAAATTCCAGATGTACAAGCTGGATTTAGAAAAGGCAGAGGAACCAGAGATCAAATTACCATCCGCTGGATCACAAAAAAGGCAAGAGAGTTCCAGAAGAACATCTACTTCTGCTTTACTGACTTCACCAAAGCCTTTGTCTGTGTGGATCACAACAAAGTGTGGAATATTCTTAATGAAATGAGAATCCCAGACCACATTACCTACCTCCTGAGAAACCTGTATGCAGGACAAGAAGCAACAGTTGGAACTGGACATGGTACAAGACTGGTTCCAAATCGTGAAAGGAGTGTGTCAAGGCTATATATTGTCACCCTGCTTATTTAACTTATATGCAGAGTACATAATGTGAAATGCCATACTGGATGAAGCATAAGCTGGAATCAAGACTGCCGGGAGAAATATCAACAATCTCAGATATGCAGGTGACACCACCCTTATGGCAGAAAGCGAAGAGGAACTAAAGAGCCTCTGGAGGAAGGTGAAAGAGTGAAAAATCTGGCTTAAAACAACATTCAAAACACTAAGATCAGGGCATCTGGTCCCATCACTTCATGGCAAATAGACAGGGGAACAATGGAAACAGTGACAGACTTTATTTTCTTTGGCTCCAAAATCCCTGAGGACAATGACTGCAGCCATGAAATTAAAAGCTGCTTGCTCCTTGGAAGAAAAGCTATGACCAACCTAGACAGCATATTAAAAAGCAGAGATATTACTCTGCCGACAAACATCCGTATAGTCAGAGCTACGGTTTTTCCAGTAGTCATGTATGGATATGAGAGTTGGACGATAAAGAAGGCTGAGCACTGAAAAATGAATGCTTTCAAACTGTGGTGTTGGTGAAGACTCTTGAGAGTCCCTTGGACTGCAAGGAGATCAAACCAGTCAACCCTAAAGGAAATCAGTCCTGAATATTCATTGGAAGGACTGATGCTGAAGCTGAAACTCCAATACTTTGGCCACCTGATGCGAAGAACTGACTCACTGGAAAAGACTCTGATGCTGAGAAAGATTGAAGGCGGGAGAAGGGGACGACAGAGGATGAGATGGTTGGATAGCATCACCGACGCAATGGACATGAGTTTGAGAATGGACATGAGTTTGAGTAGGCTGCAGGAGTTGGTGATGGACAGGGAAGCCTGGTGTGCTGCAGACCATGGGGCCTAAAGAGTCGGACATGACTGAGAGAATGAACAACGAAAATGCTTTACGCTCTTAAAATCCATAACATTCTAAGAGGAGGATTAAGGAGAGGCAGTGAAACTGGTCCTCCTGTCTGCCCCTGGTGTTAGAAATGAAATCCTGCCTTTCCCCATGGGAGGATGACTAGCAGGGAGTTGGCACCCCAGGAAGAAGCCACCCACTCCTCAGCAGCATGGGCCTGGCCCCCGCTCCACACCCACCTCAGTGAAAACAAGATCTCACTTCCTCCCATGGCCGCCTTGGCCAGCTGCAGCTGATAGGGCCCCAAAGCCCAGCCCATCACTCAGCCACCTCCGTTTCCCGAACGCAAGGTGCCTGACGTCCTAATTCCTTCTCCTCCTTGTGCAGTAATCAGCCCGGCCCCTCAACCCCGAGATTCATTTTTTCCTGTGCACCTTAGAGAATGACAAGTTTCTCCATGACCCAGTGCCCGAGCTCCTGGCTGGGCCAGGGGCACCTCCTCGCCATCACGCACCATGTCACTTACCTGTGCGGCTGCGTGCACAGAAGAGCAGGGCCCCCAGGAGGCAGAGGTGACAGAGCTCAGAGCACGAAGCTCAGCCCCCTGCGCTGGCGGCTGCCTGGAAATCTGGGTCCCTCTACTTTCCAGGGCTTCTCCCAGCCTCCACCCAGGGCATGCTGGGCATGGGGGGTGGACTAGCCCAGAACTCTGTTCTGTCCATGCAGACAAGAAAAGCAGTGCGTGTGGTCACCCTGTGGTGACTCCTGAGTGCAGACATGGGGGTCATGAGGGAGATATGGCCTCTATTCCAGGCTGACCGCTGGCTGAAGAGAATACATTTGGGCAAACCCCAGCCTTCATAAGCGCCAGCTGACAAGAGCCACACGCCTCACTGGGGAAGGCTTCCTGGAGGCTTCACAGCCTGGAGGATGGAAGGGAAGGCAGGGGAGAGGCAGCAGGAGACGTGCGTGACAAACAGCTCAGCGCTGCAGTGCATGGGGCTGTGGGTAGGGGGCTGGGAAGGGCCCCAGGGCCTTTCAGGCAGGAGGGGATGAGCCTGGATGAGCTCTAGAGACCAAGCCCCTCGTGGCTGAGTGAGAGGAGGCCAGAGTGAAGTGAGGATGGAACAGAAGACCAGAGAGAGGCCTGGAAGATGTGCTGACACCAGGAGAGGGAGGCGGCAGGGGCAGCTGGGCAACTGTGGGCGGGGATGAAGCAAAGGTGGGTGGAGAGAGGGACTCAGCAGACACAAGGCGCAGACAGTTCGAGGACCCCTGGCAGGTGGGGCACATTGTCTCAACACACATGTAGCAAACTCACCCACTGATGATCTCCTTGGTCTCAGCCCGGATGAAGTGCTCCTTCTCAGGGGTCAGAATGCACAGGGAGAACTTCTGGCCTGTCCGGCCCTCCCCATCCACCACGTCCGTGCACTGGTTCATGTTGATGGTGCCCTGTGGGAGGGTTGTGGGCTGCAAGAGGAAGACATGGCAGGAGTCACCCTGGGGGCAGAGGGAACGTCCCTGTCTCCCCAGGTCCTTCCGGACCCTCCTGGCTTCTCCACCATCACTGGGGCCTCACAGCTGTGCAGAGCCCCCTGCCGTGCAGAGCATGGGGGCGGGCTGCCTCAGTCTGGCCCTCACAGCCCCGCAACCCCCTGACCCACCCCGGAGGGGAGCGGTGACAGGTCTGCTCTTCTCAGAGGACAACCAGCTGCATGTTCCTTCCCACTACAGAACAGCCCACGAGTGCTGGGGGCGGGTGGGGGCTGTGTGTCGGGGGAACAGGCAGCAGATGCCTCTTGACGACAGCTGGGGTGACGGAGGAAGCCAGGAGCCTGGTCACAGAGGGTGGCTGATCCAGAAAACAGTGAGAAAAGCTACAGGAGGTAGTTTTGAAATTGCAAGGCTATTTTTAAAGGCTAGGAGGGGCCAGAGAGAAGCACATCTTGAAGGGAGACTGTGGGGCAGGCAGACCAGAGCCTCCCACCTGGGGTTGTCAGAGGCGGGCCTCCTTCAGGGCTGCCCGGGCAGGGCTGGGACAAATTATAGCACTTCCCCCCTTTTCTCAGTCAAAGCTGCGAGACACAGACATTAAGGAGAGAAATCCAAAAACAAGATACTGAGTGGATGAGTGAGGACCCTCCTGGAATGCAAGGAGGCTTTGGGGAAGGAGGCAGGGGGCTGTGGTGGCCACCGCACCAGGCGCGAAGACTCCATGAAGGGAGGGGAGACCAAGCTCCAACTCCCACCCCACCTCCACAAGGAGCCCGTCCCAAGGGCCCAGCACTTCCAGGCTGGTCCTGGAGAAGCAGCAGGGGCAGAAAAGGCCCACAGTGGTGGCTGGGCTCCCTTCCTCCCACCAGCCAGTCCCCTGCTGCAACACAGAGGAAGGGGACCTGGTCTGAAGATGAGACGCCGAGCTCTGCTGACCCACTGCCAGCCAACTCCCTTTTTGTCCCGAGGCCCCACCCAGGAGCCAGACCCCAGAGGTGGTGGCTTTCCAGAGCCCTCGCCCTGACACAGTTGCCAGTTCACTGGGTCACTGCAGGGCAGGAAGTAAGTTCCCCACTCCAAGAAGCCTCTCTGTGGGGCCTCTGGGACCCGCCCATCCTCCTGGGGCCCAGCTCAGGATGGAGGCAGTAGGGCAGGAGGGCAGCCGTGCACCCACAGAAGAGCATACACCCTCACTGGGTCTTCAGTGCGTCCTATCTCAGAAGTGCCCCCAGGTGGGCATGAGAGAGGGGGCCACACCCACGCCAAGCTGAGAGCTTCCCGAGTGAAGTAAAACCTTGTAGCACCTCACCTGGAGGCTTCCGGCCAGCCCTTAAGCTGGAGAAGGGAGCCTGGTGGGTGGTCCTCAACCAAGTAGCTGATGAGGGAGGTGGCCCAGGTCCCCCACCTGCCTCGGGATAAGCGCTGTCTTCCCACCTTCCTGCCTCAGCTTCAGGCCCTGCTTCCTTCCCCCACATCATGCCAGTGCCCAGCAGAACCCTCCCTGGGTGGTGGCCTCTGCCCTCTCCAAAAGCAGACCCCCTCAGGCAGGACACTTGATCCCCACTGGCCCCGACAAAACACACGGCCTCTCTGAGGCAGGGCTGAAGGAAGGACCAGGGCGCCATGTGGAGCGGGGCTCCAGCGCTAGAGCAGGCAGGCCCGGTACTCTGCTCTGCTGTCCTCCCTTGTCCCTCATGCTGCCAGGGCAGGTGCCCAGCCCTGCTGAGTCACCCTGAGTCACACACACAACACACACAGGTAAGTTCTGCGGGGGCCATAAAGTACGTCATCACAAGTTCCAGCGTTTTCTCCTCACTGGACCACCCAGAGGGCCCCGGGGCAACACGTGCTACTTTTCAGAGGCCACTGCTCCAGGGCTCGGGGCCAGAGCTGCACCCTGGTGCCTCTGCACAGCGAGTATTCACCTGGTGAGGCTCCCTGCTGGCCCGGAGCTCCATATGGTCACAGGACTCAGGCACCAACTGTACCCTGAGGCTTTCAGCAACCTCTCCATGATAAGAAGGTGCTACCTCCTCCACAAAGTTTGCAGAAGGGCCACGAAAGGCAGAGACATGACAGGTGAGGGCTGAAGGGCACAAGCGTCTCTCTACCACCTCTAAGCCAGGATCACCCAGTTACAGTCTCTCTCATCCTTCCTTAAATATGACCTCCCATGAGGCAGGCGTGACCTCATCCTGTCACGCACAAGAGAAAGGAAACCTGGGAAACCTGTCCAAGTTCACAGGGGCCAGCCCTTCTGGTCTCAACAGCGCTCCCCAACCCCCGCCCGGGAAGCAGCAGCACAGGAACACCCACATGGGCCCCTTCCCTGCTAAACTTCAACGTGCCTCCCATACAGTACAGACTGTAACCCAGTACAACACGATGGGTCTGTGGCTCAAGCTGTCCTGGCCTTGACCACGTTGCCTACCAGCATGCACATGTCCCACTATTTGTAGAGCAAGGTGCCCCAGGCTCAGCTTGTATGTACCTACCCTGATCCTAGAATGGGCCATTTCTCCAAGGATCCCTGGTTCCTTTCACTGGAGAACAGAATTAGAAATCAATACTGAGGAACTAGGTATGCTCATTGCTTTTGGGGTGTTGCTGCCTCCAGGCCTTCTCAGATGACAGACAAGGAAACACAGGTGCGTATAACCTGTGCAGTCACGTCTGCATTTACCTTCCCCTCCCTGCACCCCTCTCCCCCATTCCTATCTATCAATTGCGGGATCTGTCTCTCCTGTGTGTCTCAAGCTAAACACACTGGTGTCCTCCACATGACTCCAAGATCATGTGCATCATTCCAGCCTCTCCCTTTGCTGGCCTGGGCCCTAGCACACCCAAGTGGCCCAGACTGTGAACCAGTGCTCCACGGGCAGCTTCACCACCGCGCACAAGGCACCCAGCACGATCCCTTCTCCTTCAGTTGTACAGATTCCACGCATGTCCAAGGGCACATACTACCACCTTACACACTCCCACCTGGACTCTGCAGGGAAGTCCTGGAGAAGAACGCATCACAGCTCCTTGTATAGTTCTACACTTCCCGCCTCTCTTCCAGGGCATGCTGGCTAAAGAGGGAGGGAGGGAGGACACAGAGGGGAAAGGCCAGGGGCTCAAGGCACCTCCCAGCAGAAGCCATTCTTCCAGCCGAGACGGAGAACGGGGCTGCTCACAGAGGGCGGGGGCGGGGGTCACCGGCACACAGGCAGCAGGGCCTGCTGTGGAGACGCACACCCCAGTTCTGGTCTGCAGGGTGCCATGCCCGGGAGGAAGGCAGTGCTCGTCTCCTGCCCAGCGGCTCCAGGCAGATTGGGAGAGAACACACCGTCGTCTGTTATGGGTGGGCTGGAAGCCACGCAGCTGCTGGGGCCATGGCACTCAGCAAGCCCTCCTGCAGGGCCCCCTGCTCACCCTGGTGCTGAAAGACCCCAATACTGAGGTCTGAAGCAGCCAGAAGAGACTCTTGGGGACCAGGAACCACCAGAGAGACTGGAGAGAAGGCGAGAGGTCCTAAACTGTAAGGTCTGAGTGCTTAACGCAATGGTTTTCAACTTTTGCTGAATAATGGAATGACCTGGAAAGATAACTAAATGGAGGTTCCATGCCCAGATTCAAATTCTCTGGGAGTGGGGCTTGGGCATCAGAATTACCGAAAAGCCCCTTCATGCTTCTAACACCGAGGCTGCCTGGAGAGGAGACGGGTCTGCTCACTGCCACAGCAGGCCCAGCACCGCGGGCTGGCTGGCCCAGGCCCTGGCCAGCTGCACTAGGTCACTAGGCAGCTTGTGGCTGGGCCAAAGAGGACCTGATGAAAGCATAACAGAGGGGAGAGGAGAGAGAAAACACAGCTGTCGCGGGCCCGCTGAGGGTGAGGGCCAGCGGGGTTCACAAGAGAGGGGGCACTACTGGAGAGGTGGTATCATCAGGCCCCAGCACCCCAGGCTTGGGTTAGCACCCCCAAGGCCCTGCCAGCCACAGTGAGAAAGAAAACAAAACCTCAGGCAGCCTGAGGGGAGGAAGAGGGACACGGGTCTTCTCCTCGGGTGACTCTGTGAGGCCCTCAACCAACTGGGAAGGTGAAGACCACACCAGGAAACCCTATCACCCACGGGAAGGTGAGGGCCATGGCGGGGCTGCCACACTTCCTGTGATGAGAGGACAGTCCCTGTCCCCAGCGGGGCTCAGGTGACCGCACACAGGCACAGGCTCCCGCCTCCACCGCCCCGGCCCTGAGCGCCGGGTCTAGCTCCTCCAGCTCCTAGCCAGTGTGAGCACCCGGCTGGAACACAGAATGGGGGGAGCTTGTTGCCACACAGAGCATGCAGGCAGGTCACATGAGCACACACACCCCCCCATCCTGTCAACCATGCCGTTGAGCCTTGAAACCAAGTGGGGCTGGTGCTACTACTGAATATGGCTAGACAGGACCCACACAAGGTGTGTGCCCAAAAAACTTCAAATAGCCTTTTTATGGAGAAATTCTCTGATTTATTCCAAGAATCCACATAATTGAGAAACTCTGCTCTGAGCTCACACCGCATCAGGAGTCACTGGGCCTCCCCTGCTATCCAAATTTTAGAACACAGGGGAGCAGAGCAGTAACAAGAGTGTCCGGCAGGGGACTCCCAGCCTGGACATAGGCCAGGCACGGCCACAGCCCCCCAGCCCTCCCCATGCCCCTCAGGGACCCCAGGCTCCAGGGACACTCAGGTGCCCATAGGCATCCACCTGCAGCAAGAGTGCGGGTCCAGGGCACACATGCTGTGAGCCCGGGGCTGACATCCCCAACCTGTCTCAGGACAGGTCTGTGCCCAAATGCCATGGTGCTGAGCAAAGCATCCCGCCCTCCCGTCTCTGACCCACAAAACCCGACTGCAGGGCTGAAGCCCCGTCCCGCGCAGGCTCCTAGGCTCCTTCCCAGGGATCCGTGGGGCTCATCAGCAGGAGGGGTTGGAGCCTCCTGGAGTGAC